CATTTATATTGACAATTCAGACATACATTATGCATTTTAAAGTAGACGACTTTAAAATGATATTGCCAATATTGTTGAGTTGCGCTCTTGGGACGACGTTACTTATAAGATAGTTAATTCGATTACATGAAATCAACTTTAACTTGAGAATATCCGTCAGAAAAAAATCATGTACATAATCATGTCTTTTATGTACGGTATTGTTATTTTCCTCGTATTATTCCTTGTAGGATCTCGCTCTAAAATGTTCTGTTCTATTCGATCGATTGTTGAAAATTCCATATTTATTGGATAGTATTATGAGGTTTTTTTCCTGGTTTTTCCCTCATAATTTACTATGGAATCACTAACAGGAGAATTTTACTGTCATCATGTCATGTGTTTGTCTTTTTAAAGACGAATTATATGCTATGATTTTTTTCTGAAGGATATTCTCAAGTTAAAGTTGAGTTTATGTAATCGAATGAACTATCTTATAAGTAAAGTCGTCCCAGGAGCGCAACTCAACAATATTGGCAATATCATTTTAAATTCGTCTACTTTAAAATGCATAATGTATGTCTGAATTGTCAATATAAATGAGTCAGATAAAATTAAATTATTAGAAGAATTTTTCACTATGTAACAAAAAACAAAATTTGTTTAATTTACTGTTTGTATTTTGAGAACGATTTCCGAAGTAAAAATTGAAACGTCAATAAACGTATTTTTATCTTTAATTGTGGCTTATTCCCAGTTAAATAGTAATTAATTTACAATGCCATAAGAAAATAGCTTCAGAACAATACAAGTCTATTTGATTTCTTGAAGGCTCAGGGTTATTGCTATCATCAAATGGGGCTTTCCAAGTGTATAGTCGTCGCTTAGGTAGTTTATACCAGGTATTTGCAATGATCATATCGTTTTCTTTAGGTACAGAATTCATACAATCTCTGTCCTCGATCGTTAAGTTGTCCTTAACCATAACGACCTACAGTCTCACCTCGTCGTTTTTACGTCTCCTGAAAATGTTTGAAAAGTGGATTTATGCAGTTTTGTAAAAAAGCTCCTCAGTTCTGTATACATAAAGCTTGTAATACTAGCTTGCTAGTAAAAAAAAAACTAGTTTGCTAATAAAGTGATTTGGATACGAATTTATTTTATATGGATTTTATATCGTACTCCGCATAATATATTTAAAGATTTTAATTGTATTTAGATCACAACAAAAAATATAAAACCCAAAGAATAAAAATAAAAGATTTTAAAATTTTCTAGTAGTTTTGATTTTACATCCAAATATATATTTCGTACACTCTGTATACATGCAACTATTCTGTTAAACCAAATAAAACGGGATGTCCGTGAAGATCAAGTTTTTAAAAACAAAAACATTGTATCAACATCGTTTTTCTCCATATTTTTTTTAATTTCCTCTTTACTTGCTAGTCTGCACGTCTGTAAAACACGTCTAAATTTTAACAAAATTTAGTCCCTCATAAGTGACTGATTTGAATAGGTCTAATAGTATTTATGAAGTACCCAAATCATTTTACGAAGTTTCTAAAACATTGGATATTCATTTTTGTAGCTTATTTTGTCAATACATTGAAAGGTTAGTAGCATTGCTTTTATTTCTAAATAAAGTTTTATTTAAAATTATGAGATTAAGAATTAGGTATTTCGCATTTTTTTTCCAGTTTTAACACTTAATATATTACTTTGCGTCTTTCAGCTTACCTTTATCTTTGAACTAATCCTGGTTAATTTATCAGGTTATAGAAAATCAGTGTTAGAATTTTATTTAATTGGTATTGGTGGTTTGTTGTAATTCTACATTATTTTTACTGTAGAGTTAGATGTAGTTATGTTTTCTATATTAATTACTATTTAACTGGGAATAAGCCACAATTAAAGATAAAAATACGTTTATTGACGTTTCAATTTCCACTTCGGAAATCGTTCTCAAAATACAAATAGTAAATTAAAAAAATTTTGTTTTTTGTTACATAGTGAAAAATTCTTCTAATAATTTAATTTTATCTGACTCATTTATATTGACAATTCAGACATACATTATGCATTTTAAAGTAGACGACTTTAAAATGATATTGCCAATATTGTTGAGTTGCGCTCCTGGGACGACTTTACTTATAAGATAGTTCATTCGATTACATGAAATCAACTTTAACTTGAGAATATCCGTCAGAAAAAAATCATAGCATGTAATTCGTCTTTAAAAAGACAACCACATGACATGATGACAGTAAAATTATCCTGTTAGTGATTCCATAGTAAATTATGAGGGAAAAACCAGGAAAAAGAAAACCTCATAATACTATCCCGACATTGTAAGTATTTGTTCGTGAATTTAGTTTACTTTCAACAAATATCAAAATTCTGATTTTATATGTTACGTTATTTAAAAAACATAAATGATGTATCCTCTATATGTTACTGATTTACTAATACTGGTATTTTCTTATTAATAACTTCCTCTTTCAATATTGGTAACCAGATGCTACTACATTCTGCCTAGGAATTTGCGACACAATTGGCCTCATTTAGCATAATTAGAGCTGCTTCTTTGATTTTTCTTTTTTACCATCCGTTTCTTTTAGGACTACATTTGAATTATTCCATTGAACCCTATATTCATTATCCCATACGTGTTTACATATTTGAGATCTATCAAATTCTCTATTTTTAATATAAGATTGATGTTCACTATATAAGTGGAAATTGAAACGTCAATAAACGTATTTTTATCTTTAATTGTGGCTTATTCCCAGTTAAATAGTAATTAATTTACAATGCCACAAGAAAATAGCTTCAGAACAATATGTTTTCTATATTTACTTAAATTTTCACTACAGTTTTATTCTTCTTCTCCAGTGACATATCAGATATATTTGACGTTGGTGATTACCATTGAAATGACTTCTCGATCTTCTGCTACAGTGAGTAATTGTAATGCGTTTGATATTTGAGTGCATTCACGAAGTTTTTTTAGCCAAGAAACCTGTTTTCTTTCTACACCTCTCCGACCTTTTGTTTTGCCTTTAAGAATTAGTTGTAGTATTCTATAACGATTCCTCCTCAATATATGTCATATACGTCCCAGATATATCTTAGTCTAATCTTAGTATTAGTAATTCTCTATCTTTGTTAACACTCCTTACTTAATACTTTCAAGTTAGTTTTTCTTTCCATCCAAGGTATCTTTAGCATTCGTCTATGAATCCAGATTTCTAATGCTTCAATTCAGTTAATGCTTGATCCTTTTTCGATATACACTTCTGCTTCATACAAAAGTAGACTAAACATACCAATTAGTCTTTCTTTGTTTTAGTTTTAAACCCAGAAAATTATTGCAAAGAAATGTCTTCATTTTCAGACAAGTAGTTTTAGTCATTGCTATCCGGAGTGTTCTTTCTAGGTCTGAATCTAGTTGGTCCATTATGAAAGTTCCGAAATGTGTAATTTTGTCAACTTTTTCAACTAGAACTCCATTTGATTGAGGTTCGGGATCTGGATATGAGTTACGAATGTTGAAGACCATCATGGCAATCTGTATTTTCAAACTGCTGCTCTGAAAAGATTTGTAGTTGTTGCATTGAATCACCTACGTAGATTTTTCAGCCAGGAAATCCTTCGCCTTCCTGGTCCGTGTTTTCCTTCCATTTTTCTTTGTAAAAATAATTGTAGCAACCCATATCTTTCGCTGTTCCTCTAGATGTGCCCGAGGTATTCAATTTTTTCTGTTTTCACTGTGGTTAACAACTCTTTTCCTTTTTTTTATTCTTAATAAAACGTCCTGGTAAGATATGGTAAAAATCCTCAGCATTCTACGATAAAGCCACATTTCGAAAGCCCCAATTTTCTTGGAGATAGCGTCTGTGAGAGATCTGGTTTGTGTGGGCACTGATAAATATGTCATTTGAATAGTTTAGCCATTTTTTTAAATGCAGCTCTTGCTTTCTCTGTCCTACATTTTTGTGATCATTCACACTGATTCTTTCAATTTGCAGTTCCTTCTTAAAAATCATCATACATTTTGTTTTCTTAATGTTTATTAAAAGTCCATATCCTTGACTCACTTCTGTGATTCTATTCATTAACTCCTGAAGAGCTTCATAACTGTCAACGAATACCACTGTGTCATCCGCATATCTGATGTTATTGATACATTTTCCTTCAATTCGAATTCTGGCTTTAACATCCTCTACTGTTTCTTGAAAGATTTCCTTAGAGTATATGTTGAACAGTATAGGTAATAGTGTGCATCCCTGTCGGACTCCACGTTTGATTTTGACAGCATCGGATTCTCCTGCCTCTGTACGGATAGAGGATGTTTGATTCAAGTAAATATTGCTAATAATTCTTAGATAACAGGTGTTTATTCCAATATTACTGTATCGAATGCTTTATGGTAATTAATGAATCATGCATAAATATCGCAATTCACATCTTTACATCTACATCGTTGAAATAGTACTTGTATGCTAAAGAAAGCAAGAGCCGAAAACCAAACTGTGTATGGCTGATTTTTTCTTCGCGTAGTCTATAATATATCAGAGAGTTATCAAGTAAAATTTTATCCTTCCGTTATTTTGACACGTAAACGCTATTTTTTACGGTATAATTCTTAATGGATATGTAATGTAAGTGAGAGCGCCCACCAAACTGGCGTGGCAAGTGGCAAGTAGCAAATAGCACGCATCTAGCATGTTACTTAAAATCTAACCAATGCAAACGAATGATTAGAAATAATGACGTCACTATCATTTTAGTGTGCGCTGAATCATTCATCATAATGTGTACTAAACACTTACATACTATATAACATTGTATTCACAAGGGCATCTGGGCTTTGCGACCCTTGCTCAAATTTATTGTAAAACAAAAAAAATAAAATAAAAAATAAATTAATTAAAATAAAATTACGATAAAAAAGTAAAAAGGGATATCAAAATACTTGAATATTAAGAAAATAAACAGTATTTTCTCTTTACTCAAACATAATCAATTATTATATTACTGCTTCATTATTTTTTTTAGTTTCAAAGGAGCTTTCCGAGGCAAGCAAAGAAAAATTAAGCGAATTTAAATTGGAACTCGCTAGAAAACACGAAAAAAGAAGAGATATTATTCTGGAAAAACGTAAAGAAATGGATGAACTGCGGGCAGAAATAGAAAAGCTTAAAACGGAAAATGCGGAATTGAAAGCTTCAAGAACCGAAAACTACGCAGAAAATTGTGATGAAGAAATCGAACAATTACGTAAAGAGAACCATGAACTCAAAACTCTTCTTAGTGAAAAATCGTGTATTCTAGAGGAAAGTGAAAAAATTATTGAGAAGAATAGAGAATTACGGATCAGTATTGTTGAGCTACAAGGAGAATTACAAAGACTTAATACAGAAGTATTGAATTTTGAAAAGGAAAGGGAAGACTACAAGGTGCATGTAGTTGCTTTAAAAGATGTCATTGCTGTATCCAAACATATGTTGCAAATTAGGGAATCTCAGCTGAAAGAAGTAAGTATTGTTTTGGCTCCTACTATTTGTGAGTCAAAAATGAGTATGAGTATGAGTATGAATAAATAACGATTTTAGTTTAAATTATAAGAATTTTTTATGTTGACCTCTTCTTCTCTTTTGACATTCAATGACCCCGTATGAGAATTTGCCTGTCTGGTGATGTCCTTCCATTGAGACCTCTCTTGTGACCTTCTTTCCCATTGTCTTACATTCATAGGTTTCAGGTCGTCTTCCATGTCATCCAAACATCTTGTCCGATTAATATTATCGTTGATCCACTTGATTCTCTTGATTTACTTGATTCTATGGATGCTCTTGATTTGATTTGCTCAACTTTACGACATTGAGTTTTTGACTCCACCTCTGGGAAAATCATCATCATCAGAAGTTATTCCGGGATCCCAATCATCTGACTTCTTACCTTTACCTTACTATATTTTTCACTGTACTTCTCACTAATTATTACATTGTATCTATCTTGTAAATATTGTATTTTTAGGAACGTTCTACATAATGTTCTACATAGTGAAATAATTTTATTTTTAGCTTAAAGAAAAAGTAGAAAGTATTGAACAAAACCTCGCGTCAAGAGAAGCAACAATTCTGTCTCAGGATTTGAGGGCAGAATATGAGAAGCAGATTGCCAATATGAGAAATTTAAGGCTGCTATATGAAGAAAGACAAAGGTTAGAAAGAAGAGAGAAGGAAGAACTGACATCTCAGCTAGCAGATGTTGCGAAGGATCTTGATCAAGAACAAAAGAAAAATATGTAAGTAATAAGTAGGCACGTTACCGCATATATTATATATGTATATCACATATAATAAAAAAGATTAACGCGAGTAAATAATATATATATATATATATATATATATATATATATATATATATATATATATATATATATATATATATATATATTAGTATAATGGTAAGGTTAATTGGGTTAGCAGCTGAAACCTTACCATTATACTAATTAATAATCGGACAACTGTGATCATTCTTCGTTCGTTTATATATATATATATATATATATATATATATATATATATATATATATATATATATATATATATATATATATATATATATATATATAATACATATATATATATATATATATATATAAAGAAGTACGACCGTCAAACAATTATTATTCAATGAGTAAGTTCCAAAAGAACTAAATCTTTTGGTCACGAGGATATCGGTCAAAGGTCCGATATCCTCGTGACCGATTTTCTCGTGACCAAAAGTTTTTTTCTGGAACTTACTCATTCTATATATATATATATATATATATATATATATATATATATATATATATATATATATATATATAAATATATATATATATATATATATATATATATATATATATATATATATATATATATATATATATAACAAGTGATTATTTCAACCAAAAAATAATTTATAAATACGTAGGAAATTATCAGGTAAAGTGGTCTACATAAAATTCTTTGTTTTTGCTAAAAACTCAAAATTTCGCTATTTATTTTTTAGCATCATCAGGTGTAAACTAAAACAATTTCGACATTACAAAAATGGCGTACAAATTCATTTAAAAAAACACTTAAAAAGATTTTAAAGAAATCTTTAGAATTAAAAGATTATTAGAAATATGGACGTGTATGTATGTGTGTGGAAAGATAATGGCACGGAATCAAGTCCATTTACCACAGAATGTTGTATGCAGAACTTTTCTTATAATATAAATACAGAGTTGTGGGTTATGCTGTTTTAAATTTCTATTTTTACTTCTTTAGTACAGTTTACTAGAAGTTCTAAGGTGTTTCTATTGGCAGTTAACAAACTGTGTGATAGATTTAATGAAAGAAAATATTTCATTTTAATGAGTTTACGAATTAAATCATCTTCAACAAACTCATACACGCATTAAAACACATTTACCTACATCCCAAGCATATTAATTTAATCTAAAATCTACACTACAGTCAAACAGCGTTTATAAGGGTGGAAGATAGTGAGACAATCCAAGTAGAAATTCAAAGAGGAGTCAGACAGGAATGTGTACCGCCGCCATAATTATTTAATGTGTACTTCCAACTAATATTTCAGGGGGCACTATGGGAAAGAAGTGAAGGTGAAAGGATTGGAGCATCATTAATAACATAAGATTTGCAGACAATATAGAAGATTTACAAATTCTTATAGAAATCATTAACAGAGAAACCAAACAGATGGCACTTACAATGACTATATAGATAAAACCAAATATATGGTGATCTCGAAAACCCTATTAACAATATACATCTGACATTGGAGGGTAAATCGTAAGAGAGGGTCGACAAGTGTAAATACCTCAGAGCAGTTATAATAATAAGAAATTGAGTACGGTTATCAGATTAGGGTTCATCGAATATTATGTATAGTCACAACTACTATATGGAGTAAACGAACAGGGGGAATGTGGAGAAAGCGATATAACTTTGAACTCTATAGACTTTTTGGTGATGCAGATATTGTGAAGACCATCAAAATAAACCGCCCAAGGTGGGTGGGCCACGTTATGCAGATGGATGAGAGTTATCCTACTAAAATAACTATGCTAAACAGGCCGGTCGGAAGAAGAAGAAGGGGGCGACCTAAACTCAGATATCTGGACGATGTACAGGAAGATCTGAGGGAGATTGGAGTGAGGGGCTGGAGAAGACTGACACTCGATAGGGAAGGATGGAAAAATGTTTTGAAGGCTCACGAAGGGCTGTAGCGCCAACTAATGATGATGACTATATGGAGTAGAAGCTTGGACTTTGAAAGCCCAATTAGTAAAAAAATTGCAGGCATTCAAACAGTGGCTATATAGACGTATTCTTAAAATTCTTTGGATTGCAAAAGTCTCAAACGAAGAGATATTTCCTTCATCAGGCAAGGAAATATAGAGGAAAGAAAAGGCTTTGGAAGAAAGAATAAATCTTGGCTGAGAAATATTAGAGATTGGACTAACCTCAGTATTAAACAGATATTTCACGATGCAAAAGATAAGGAAGCGTTTAAAGAACTGATCGCCAAGCTTTGTAAGAGGACGGCACAATAAGAAGCTCTGCAGTAAATATACGGCGAAATCTACCTACGAAATTAAGACTGCTGTCAGCTTTTAGCCTATTTTGAATTGTGGAATTATCATATCTAATAGTTCTACCTATTTTCCTGTTGAAAGACCTCTATCCTTTAAATGTTTACCCCGCATAAAAACATCCTCTGCAAACAACCTCAGATTTTTTTCTCTTGTACATTCTAAAACAAAAACATGAATTTAAAAATCTTTTCTAAAACCTTAATCAACGGAGTAAAATTCTAGGTAATAGACAAAACCTGCTTAATCAGGCATGCGGATCTTTGCCTCATCCGGCAGGCGTGTTTGGAAAACCTAACCTTAATTAAAGATTTTGTTTATAAGAGAATAATTAAATAAATAGATCAGAACACCAAAATTTAAAACTTGTCTCATATTTTCGATAACTAACGATTTTCAGAAGGAACTGACCGATACATACGTGAATCAAGGTAATATATGTGCTGTGTTTTCTAGAAATCGCATGTGGATTTTTACCCCATGTGGACTTTTGCTCTCACCTATCCTACTCGCTCCGTGCGTGACTGACGCGACACCTACCGCCTTCATCTGACAATTTTGGAGTCCCAATTTTCAGGTTAAACATATGACATATGTTTGACATTGTTAAATACATGCGAAATTGACAACCCAAACAGCACAAGTACGTCCCATGGGCGTCCAAAGGATGTACCTCATTAAATGTCCGGACATCCCACGGACATCCGTTTACATAATTTGGACGTCCCCGGGACGTCCAATAAGACCTAAATGTTACCAAAAAGTACGTCCCCTGGACGTCCCAGAGATGTTCATGGGGACGTACATAGTACATATACAGAACTTAATACGGACTTATATAGGACCTAAGAAGGATGTATTGGGGACATCTATTGTACATACGTCCACATGGACTAATATAGGACCTAAATGAGGATGTATACAGGACCTAAAGGGAACTTAAAATTAATAAAATGAAAAGCAAAAATAAATGGGATTTTTATTGTGTACTTATATTAACATATGTATATAACATATGTATTTAAATTTATAGTATTTTTTAAGCACATTACTCCTACTTACTTTACAAATGTAGCAACACACCACAACCACAAAAATTACCTATAAAAGTCCTATATACCTACTTAATGTCTATAATAATAAATTACCAAACTATAAACTAGTATCGAAAGCAATAAACTAATTCTAATTACAACCACAACCACAATCCACAATGATTATAATTCGAGAAATAAACGAGATAAATAGAAGCGTCGTTAAAACATAACCACATTCTTCTTTTATCTCCTAATTTTTAAATTTCAGTTCCACTACAGAACAAAATTTTAGAGATACAGCTCTGCTATAGGATAAAGATTTTTCTCTAAAAGGAGCCTCTGCCTGTTTTCGTATAAATTAATGGTATTTAAAACTAAATATAACTTTTTAAAATAAAGTTTAGTAGGAAGATTATATTTTGTAAAAAATATGCTTAAGTAAAAAAATGACACAGTTAACACCTAGAAAACGTCCCTAATACATCCCTAATGGGACGTCCTTTGGACGACTTTATGGGACGTCTCTGGTATGTCCGACTAGAAATATCCCTTGGACGTCCCTCGGACGTCCAAAAGAAGTCCCGGGACGTTTGGACCTTAAAACGACATAAAATGGACGTCCCAGGGATGTCCTGTGTTGTCTGGGAATTGTTAATAAATTAGTTTTTTAACTATATTTTTTCAGTTTATGTACAAAATAAATAATTTGAATTGCATAAAAATGAAATTATGTGATATTTACTTTTTCATATTAATAGCACGAATTCATCTTTTTCTTTTCTCTAATTTATAAGTAATCTTTGGGAACCTATAAAAACTACACTCACTGTTTTTGCTATTATTAGCACAATTAAATACGCTACATGTATTTGCACACATTTTTGATAAAATTTATGCGTAAAAATATTTTGTCCAATATTCCAATTTTGTCATATTTCGCCGCTACGCACGCTGGCATCGTTTCAATGTATCCCTACCATGGTCACGCACGAAGCGAATACATAACGCTGAGCTAGCATAATTGGTATATATAGCACAACTTATGTGGTACGCCTATTTGCCACTCCTTTCGATTACTTACTTTTGCATAGTACCATTGTTACCATCCTGATTATCTCGATATGGACATTATATTTTGCTATAAGTAACCCTTTTGTTATTTTCAGAGAACTCGAATCAAGATTCTCAGAATTACAACATGATAATTCCAAAAAATACGATGAAATCAAAAATTTAGAATCAAATTATGGACTATCTAAAGCCGAAAGTCGCCAATATCAGGCAGAACTTGCAGTCATTAACCAGCTCTTCTCAGAAACGTTGCTTAAATATAATGCCTCTCAAGACATAGACTTAGATAAACTACAGAAACACTTAGAGGAAAACCATGGACTTTTGAAAGATATTGTGGTCAATGAAGTATCATCTGAGGTGTCTTCTGCATTGCCAAAAGTTTTACTTGAGTTAATAAACCAACTTCAAGAAACTGAAGAGAAGGTTCATACAGAATCTTCTCTTGAGCGTCAGCTATTATCTGATGATGAGCCAGGTAACAATATTAATAGATTAACGGTTTAAAAACACATTGCTGGATCAAGTGGTTCATTTATTTCCAGAGAATATTAATTTATACTATATATTGTAATGTTAATTTTAATTTATTTACAGTTTTTTAACACTAAAACACAATTAATTTATAACATTTATTTACTTAACCATATAAATTTATATTTTCGACTAAATTCCACAATTTAATTTATCTTTAAATATGTATTCGCTTCAGCCATTCCGAAACCCCATCGCAGTTTCTGGGCGGCTAGGTCTTGCTTACACGTCACGCTACATGATCAGAATGTTTCCAGAAGCCACTAAAATTTTTGCATCAAACGTCTACATGTCAGACCAGAGGCGTAGTAAGGACTTGACGTATCATAACCTCCTTCTTAAAAGATGGTCCCCGGAACCTTGTCGGGACTGGAACTGGTTTTCTCTGGTTGGAAGAGGGCGGTTTTCACTCCGCACCTGTAATCATGTGGGTTACAAAAGACTAATACATAACCTTCGCTGTCTTAAGATTTTTTCTACCATATTTTGGACAATCCTCTAATCAATTGGCTGTATTCCAGCTTTGGCATGGCCAACTTTTGCACGTTGGACTCCAGCACAGTTAGCATTAAGTTGTGAAACTCGATGAAACTTTCTTCTAAAGTTGGATGCCAACCCTTGTGCGTCTTTAATACTAGCCCGGATGGGCCAGTTAGTAAGTATCTGGAAGTGCGAGTAGATCTTGATTGTTTTTCTTTAGTGGTAACCCCACGTCTTGATTTACTGGTACCTTCATATACCCCTCTGAATTCCTCAAACGTGATATCAGAAAACGTGGTATCGGTTTTCCCCTCGGAAGGTTGCCCATCCGCAATGTGATAAGTGGGGCTATCTGGTAATTGGTCGATTGAGCATGGTGTTGGTATGCATTTATAGTGTGCGAATTTTGTTTATATATGTGTTAATGTAAAGTCTTACGTCAGTCTCTCTTGCTAGAGTACTGGAAAAATTAGATTTTCAGTCTTAGACTGGCATGGTTTTTTGACTTCATCGATAGTTTATCTCCTTTTTTATGTTACATATGCGTCTGAATTATAAACTATATACTCAGTCAAAGTCTTAATCTAGATAGTTTTCTTAGATACATTTATCTACATGTTAATTATCCTTGATATTTATATGAGCTTTTACCCGCACGAAGCTAATATAAAAATAAGTAACGTGTAAGGCAATTTATATTATTTTTATATGGCTCTCAAAGGAACATATAAAGCACATCCAATGGTATTTAAGGTTTTGGATACATCTTTATAAACAACTGTCTCTCTGAAAAGCCATCGTCTTCTTCACAAGCTGCGCAAGCATTGTGGGTTCAGCTGTGGCATCCAGAGATCTTCCCCATCCTTAACAATCCTTTAAACAGTAACACAATTCACTGTACAGTACTGTTCGGAGTACAGTGTCAATTACATCACTGTCAGCTTCTTCTTCAACTTGTAGTTGACGTCTTCCCCACTTCCTTTTTTAACATCTCTTTTCTGCTTTGCTTGGCACTGTGTCTGTGTTTTTTCTTTTGAATAAAACCTTTTGTTTTTCTTTTTTCTCTATCTTCTTGTGTAAATTCAAAATCCGTCTTATCTCATTTTCCTTTTATACAGTTTGACGTAGCAGGAGTTAGTTTTTTTCTTATATTTTTTTAATAGAATAATACCTCTTAGGCTTACAGCGAAAGAAGGTCGTATTTGTGAGCTGAAAGAAGGCCCAAGCTGTGGACTTTAAGTTGGTCTATGTTGAAGAGCACCTTCTTGCTGCAGGATTTCTTGCACAGCCTCAGATTGATCTGGTGGATGTTTAAAATGTCGACCTATGCCTTCTTCAGCTGACGTAAGTACGGGCTCTTTAGTTTGATGTGCTTCACGCGCTTAATGATCAGGTCAAAGCTGCTAAAAAAGCACATTAGTGCATTCGGCGGCAACGTAATTAGCTTTTGTGAAAACATCTTGGTTTCACAATGCTGTTTTTACAAAATCCATTTCTTGCTATGACTGTGGTTACTGCCTTTAAAAAACCTTCTCCAAGAAGTCGGCAAACTTCAAACTGGGTTACTACCTTTCCAGGGTTATTTAAAAAAAATGTCATGGCTTAGATGTAGAATGTATTGAAAAATCACAGGAATAAGTGTGGCTCTCTCTTGCTTTTTTAATAAATGCCAGGTTTTTTGCATAGGTTGAATGGCCATCTAAGATTAACAAGACTGGGTGGAAGCTAATGGTTTGGCATGAGTCAGAAAATGGTCAAACCATTGAAATAATTCTCGTTTTGTATCCATACAGATGGGTGAAAGACAATAATAGTTCCAGGTGGAGCTCCATCTTGATGTTCAGCTTCCATCCCAAGTCTTGGGAAAATCACGAATAACAAAATAAAGTTCCCTCCATACTCACAACAAAAGTTGATAGCCGACCTCTTTCAGCCGATGGCAAAGCACCAACTTAACACCTACACTTGAGAGCGAGAATCTCGGAGCTCTTGGACTGAACAGTTATGAGTCCTGTCTCGTCAACATTGCAAACCTTGTGTGCAGGGTGGAATTGCTTCTCCTGAACATTCTTAAGAATATTAAGAAAGTTTTTATAGCCCAAAAGCGCATATTTCGCTTGATTTTTAATTTACCATATAGACAAAGATTTCTTTAGGACTCCTGAACATTACACTTCTATGTTTGAAAAAAACCCTGATTATAGCGGCATAAGATTTTTTAATCAGCTCCTATCCAAATTAAAAAGTGAAGCAGATTATGATAGAGCATTTAAGAATAAATTGAAGACTTATCTCATCGAGTCATGTTTTTGTAGTGTCTCGGAATTTATGTCTTAGATATGTTGTATGTTGTTTCTATATTTATGTGTATGTTTATATTGTATAGGTAGTATTTAACGTTTCTTTTTACTTTGACATGTCCTATATTATGTAAATAATCTGCAAGGATGAATAAAGTTTTATTCTTTATTATTTATTATTAAAAAAACTTTGTCACGTTATGTTCATCGAATTTCTAAGCCCTTGCTGCAGAAGTCTATTCTGGTTTCCTTAAACTAATTTCAGTGTGCCGATGTCTAAATCTAGCAAACCCAGAAACTAAGCCAGCTAATTTTTTGTCATTTGGTTAAAATTGTTCGGAATGCCATTGCGTACAGCTAGGTTCTATGCTAATGGACAAAGATCTGAAATGATGACTCCAAATAATCGTACCTCTAAATCCAGTATATGTCGCCAATTTCGGTTCTTATTCTTCTGTAAAAACAGCTCGGTATTTCCCCAGCTCCTTTTTGTTGCATCAATATTATTATCAAGGGCCCTCCTTTTTAGAGTGTTTCTTGGAACCGAGAAAGTTGCCGGAGTTGAATACGATAGAGTACACAGAGAAGTTTTTTTCGATATTTTTTTAAGACTTGTAAGAGTATTCATAACAGCCTGATTAGCAATTATCTGCATATAAATAAATTTAAAATTTATTACAAATTTTTAAAATTACATAAAAAGATGTACTAACCAATTGCTAATTTATATAATATAAGTTGTTTAAATGTAGTGATAAGTTTAAATGTCAGTTCTTTTGTCCAGCAATGTTCCGATTTTTAAACTCAACCTAAAATCTAAATGCTGTTTAATCAGTAATTTTATAAACTAGATGTAAAAAAGCATTATGTATGTAAAATAGGTAAAGAAATAATAATAATACTTACTCACAATCAATTTAATTTAACAATCTGACGACCGGTTTCGCTTTCTACAATTTGCAAAGCATCTTCAGGTCGAGATACAAAGTTAAACTAATGCTGCAATAAAATAAACCCAATTAGGGTGGTGTCTCATAAAGATAAAATAAACAAATAAATTAGTTCATACAAATTATAGTAATTATGCCAATATTACATGTCTGTGGTTTTCAAAATGAATAATTTGAATATATAAAAGGTATTAACAGACAAGGTAAGGTCCACAATTGGTATAAAGTAGCAATCTTATATTGTAATAAATTAATAAATGAGCAAATAAATAAAAAACAAAACAAAACAAACATTACTTACATGCCGGTACTCTATTAATTGATGGATGGTAGGTCATGGTTGCAAAAATCATGTATTGTTGATTGGAGATTGAGTCCAATATTGAAGATTGGAGATTGAATATTGTCTCCAATCAACAATACATGATTTTTGCAACCATGACCTACCATCCATCAATTAATAGAGTACCGGCATGTAAGTAATGTTTGTTTTGTTTTGTTTTTTATTTATTTGCTCATTTATTAATTTATTACAATATAAGATTGCTACTTTATACCAATTGTGGACCTTACCTTGTCTGTTAATACCTTTTATATATTCAAATTATTCATTTTGAAAACCACAGACATGTAATATTGGCATAATTACTATAATTTGTATGAACTAATTTATTTGTTTATTTTATCTTTATGAGACACCACCCTAATTGGGTTTATTTTATTGCAGCATTAGTTTAACTTTGTATCTCGACCTGAAGATGCTTTGCAAATTGTAGAAAGCGAAACCGGTCGTCAGATTGTTAAATTAAATTGATTGTGAGTAAGTCTTATTATTATTTCTTTACCTATTTGATATGGACTCACACAAGCAACACATTCATGATTTCATTATGTATGTTTTAGAATGTTCCAATCAAAATAATCTTCACCAAATGAATAGCGCCGAAGAAATAGTAGAAAATCTCCCGAAGGTATGGAAAGTTCTTATAGAACTACTGAGTCACCAAACAGTCCCTACAAATGTTCTTACAGATGAAACAAGTGACGAAGATCCTTGTTATAAAAAAGTCGACACCCCGAAGGGACCGAGCCTCGTCCTAAGTGTAAGCCAAACGTTTATTCGACTTAAGGATCTAATACTGGAGAAGAAGTCATTAGAAAAGGAGACTGCGCACTTAAAACATTTAAATGGTCATTTGGAAAATCGGTTACAGGACCAAGAAAAGAGGCTGGAATTGGTGCAAAATGAGCTTTCAAAGACATGGCTAGTGGTAAGTCTGCATATTTTGATATCTAAATATTGAGTTAAACTTTGTGAAATCTGACACACACATTCACACACACATACGCACACACACACACACACACGCACGCACGCACACACGCACGCACGCACCCATTTTCTAATACAAATGCGGTATTAAAACATAAAAAAAAACTTTAAAAAACTTTTTTGTAATAAAAAATTTTAATCATGTAACATGGTTTCCACTTGCCCCACATTCTCTACATGGCAAGGGGCAAGTGGAAACCTATGCGAATGTATATATTGAATTCAATATTGAATGTATATATTGAATGTATATATTGTATATATTGAATTTATATATTGAATGCGACTGATGTGTCTGGTACGTTAGGAAAATAATATTTTCCATCAATTTTTATGGATTTTCGAAGGTAACTAACTTTAACTTCAGTATCAAAACACTGCAAACTTTTAGTGACATAATAAATATAATTTGAGCCTCCTTTATGTGAAAATTTCATTAATACGAAATCATCGGGCATAACCTCACGATGTAACTCTTCTTTGGGAGGGGTTGGAACCCTTAATATATCAATATCGTCGTCGAAATCTGATCTCATCTCAATTAAAGCTTGGTCATCATCACTGCTGTCGGATTGTGTTTCCTTCTTCTTTATTCTTTTCCTTTCCGTTTTATTGGATTTTACAGTCTTTTTGTCTTGTTGTATCTTCATTAGTGCTAAATAGTGAGTGTGTGTTATGATCCCAGTGCCAGAACAGATTTTTCTTACGCTTTTGCTGGTTTGATGGGGATTGTTTGACATGTTCGAGTAAAATCGATTCGAAGGAATTTCTTTCAGGAAGCCCTTTTAATGCATGATTCTGATTATCTTTTGAAGATACTGTTTGTCTTCTAACACAATACTTCTGACCAAGTGTGTTACTTGGCTGCCACTGGTAATTTCGAATATTTCTTCTTGTTAAGGGGTATCACAAGGATCATTCCTATTTCTCACTAATGATGCCTCCTTACAGTTATGATATTGAAATCTTTTGAAAGCCTCAGGTTCAAATTTTTCAACAGGATTCACTGTATTACAGAATGGGTAAATACCTGCCTTACTAAAACCACTTCTAATATGGCTTGAGCTCAACTCCTTCTATACTTGTGAAATTATAGATGAAAATATGGATTTTGGTAACTTGTACCGTAATTTTTTCTTTGCCACTTTATAAGAGCTTCATTGTACATTTGTTTTAAAGGCTTGAACTCAGCCAAATCCATTGGCTGTAGGATATCGCTAGTATGTGGCGGTAGTTTTAAAATAATTATGTCTTCCCTTAAAGCATTGTTCTGAAGCTATTTTCTTGTGGCATTGTAAATTAATTACTATTAAACTGGGAATAAGCTACAATTAAAGATAAAAATACGTTTATTGACGTTTCAATTTCCACTTCAGAAATCGATCTCAAAATACAAACAGTAAATTAAACAAATTTTGTTTTTTGTTACATAGTGAAAAATTCTTCTAATAATTTAATTTTATCTGACTCATTTATATTGACAATTCAGAGATACATTATGCATTTTAAAGTAGACGACTTTAAAATGATATTGCCAATATTGTTGAGTTGCGCTCCTGGGACGACTTTACTTATAAGATAGTTCATTCGATTACATGAAATCAACTTTAACTTGAGAATATCCGTCAAAAAAAAATCATAGCATGTAATTCGTCTTTAAAAAGACAAACACATGACATGATGACAGTAAAATTCTCCTGTTAGTGATTCCATAGTAAATTATGAGGGAAAACCAGGAAAAAAAACCTCATAATATTTGAATGCGATCAGTTTTATTTAGGTGAATCATCAAGGCCATTAAATGTTAGAATAAGTGAACATCAATCTTATATTAAAAATAAAGAATTTGATAGATCACAAATCTGTAAACACGCATGGGATAATGAACATAGGGTTCAATGGAATAATTCAAATGTAGTCCTAAAAGAAACGGATAGTAAAAAAAGAAAAATCAAAGAAGAGGCTCTAATTATGCTAAATGAGGCCAATTGTGTCGCAAATTCCTCGGCAGAATGTAGTAGGATCTGGTTACCAATATTGAAAGAGGAAGTTATTAATAAGAAAATACCAGTATTAGTAAGTCAGTAACATATAGAGGATACATCATTTATGTTTTTTAAATAACGTAACATATAAAATCAGAATTTTGATGTTTGTTGAAGGTAAACTAAATTCACGAACAAATACTTACAATGTCGGGATAGTATTATGAGGTTTTTTTCCTGGTTTTCCCTCATAATTTACTATGGAATCACTAACAGGAGAATTTTACTGTCATCATGTCATGTGTTTGTCTTTTTAAAGACGAATTACATGCTATGATTTTTTTTTTTTTTTTGACGGATATTCTCAAGTTAAAGTTGATTTCATGTAATCGAATGAACTATCTTATAAGTAAAGTCGTCCCAGGAGCGCAACTCAACAATATTGGCAATATCATTTTAAAGTCGTCTACTTTAAAATGCATAATGTATGTCTGAATTGTCAATATAAATGAGTCAGATAAAATTAAATTATTAGAAGAATTTTTCACTATGTAACAAAAAACAAAATTTGTTTAATTTACTGTTTGTATTTTGAGAACGATTTCCGAAGTGGAAATTGAAACGTCAATAAACGTATTTTTATCTTTAATTGTGGCTTATTCCCAGTTTAATAGTAATTAATTCCCTTAAAGCAGTTTCTATAAGGGCAATTAATGTGTGTGAAGTGTGGCCGTCATAGATCAGAACAACGGGTCTCCCTTTAGGAATATTGGGAAGGAACGTATGTTCAATATAATTAGAAAATCTTTCCGTTTCCATCCATCCGTTTATTGTTGCTTTATATGTAATTCCTGGATACTCGTCATCTTTTTTTCTAGCCATGTATCCCAAAGATTTTTTCCTTTGAAAATAAGAAGGGGTGGTAATTTTTCTCCTATAGCATTGCCATCCATTAAGACAGAAAAGTTTTCTTTGCCAGGACCAGCTGTAACTCGATGAGCGGCTTTTCCTTTTTCATCTACTACTTTTACACGACTAGGATCTAGGCAGAAACTGGTTTCATCTAGATTATAAATCCTCTCAGGGGGTATATTCGAAGTGATTTGATTCACCAAGTCAAAGTACTCTGCAATTAATAATGCAAAGTAATCGACCACTTCAACTAATTGTGGCTTCTTTTGAGAAAGTCCATATCGGCGCTTGAAACTTAAAAAATAATCATCTCCCTGTATTGAATCTTTAAATGGAGTCTTTATGTTATTTTCTGGCACATATTGTCCAATAGCTAACAAAATTTTTTTTTTTTTTTCAGGGGCCAAAACCCCATTTTTCCATGGTCTTAATATGGTCAGCAATTTTGGTCTCAATATCTAAATGTGAAGCTGTTGGCCTACCCACAGTGGCACTTACCCCTTACTTAATCCCATTAACACCTTAATCCCTTGACTCTTTTAAATAATGTTGCTTTTGGAATGGAGTAATGTTTTGATGCTCTGTAGAGTGTCATTTGCTTAGATTTTACAGTTTCTACTGCTTCTCTTAAGGTTTCTTGAGAATATGTTGGCGGTGGTTTCTTTTTGACATAATTGCGAACCATTGTAACTGCAAAGAAAAAAAAATAAGTTAGATTAAACTGTTTTGAATAAATGCTTGGGGAAAGTGGACACTAGTGTCCACTTTCCCTAATGCTGTGGGTTCCACTTGCCACAAGCATAAAAAACAATGGGGCAAGTGGAACCTATCTAGATTTGCAAAAACTATCTACCTACGTATAAATAAAATAGTACAATATAATTTTATTTCTTACCTAATGAAAATCGCTGTTAATTCGAATTCCTTTAATCAAAACCGTTGGCTTAAAGATAACAATTACAATTCGATGGTTAAATCGATACCAGCTTAGTAGATAAACACTTAAATAATAGTTTTGCTTAACGACAGAATTATGACTGACTCTGAGCTGAAGCTGAGCGTCAGTGGTAATATTAACCTAGTGTAGATCGTTTTTGAGGAGATGGCGGTCATAGGACCGGATTATGATTTTTTAATCACATGGTTTCCACTTCCCCCATATTTCCACTTGCTCCGGGGTACCTTATATTTCTCTTGCTATTTGTACTGTAGTATTTCGTTTGAAAGGTATTTAAAAATTCTTTAATATACCGTTTTTTTTAAATTTTTTTTCTCGTTTGGTTAATTTTGACCATCAATTGAAAATTATAAAATTTTGCAAGTTTTCTTTTTGTTCTTCTTGGCCTATAAAATAAAACTTATCCTTTGCGATTTTGTAAATTATTTCATAAAAAAAAAACATTGTAACAAAAAAATATTATGAGTTAAAATCGGTCCACTAAACTTCTGAGATATAGCTCTTAAAATATAGAGGAAAAGGACTATTTTTGACCCTTGATACATCAACTTAACATCATGGTTGTGTCGTATTTTTTTTAATTAGTGTTTTAGGACACTCACATTATTATTATTATTGTTATTGTTATTTTATTTTTAGGTCGGGAAAGCTGCAGAAGCAACACCAAATGTTACACACCCAAGAAAAAATCCTACGATACGAACTTGCCCAAAAAAGAAAACTTTTGAGCGAATTAAAAGAAGAATTGGAATACAGTAGGGAAAAATGGGCACAAGCTAGGGAAAAAAACTCCAACACCGAACTGCAGTGGAAGCAGCTGAGAACTGAGTTCGCAAGCAGGAGAAATACTACAGTAGAAGATGTAAACAATAGCGCTGAAAGTGGTTATAGTGATGATAGAGAAGGACTTAGTGATGAGGAACCAGGATATGAAACTGATGTATCAGAGTGCGCCCAAAAAACTGGAGAAGATACTGAAAATCAAGATTTAGAAATTGAAGACTTAAGTGAAGATAATTTACCTAATCAAAGTGACGTTTTAGAAAATACTGTCGATAATAATGTATCAGATGTAAAAAGCGTATGCCAGAGTGTAAATAATGACAATAGCCGGACACTTACAGGTCAAGACAATTTAGTTCAATGCGAAGAAACTAAAGTTGTGGAAAAAGAAACATCTCCATCAACTAATGAATGTTCTGATATATCCAAAACAAGAAGTTCAGACTCTTCCCAAATAGAAACAGTAAATAGCTTAGATAGGCCCAGTACATCATCTTCTAGAGTAGATGATTCAAGAAAGGCATTTGAAGAAATGTTAGCAAAAAAAGAAGCACGACTCAAAAGATTAGAAAGCCAAGCTGAAAGCTTAGTAACCCAAACAACAAATACTGCTAATAGAAGCATTGTAATCAGTAATAGGTTAGATAATCTTCACGAAACGTATGGCTCAAATAATGAAGTCGAAAATAGGGAAGACGTATCTGCTATTACAGAAAGAGTAGAAAATGAAGAACCAAATGCTGATTTAATAGAAGTTATGGCAAATGAAGAACCAAGGAGTGATAATGAAGAATCTAGAACTGAAAGAGATACATAATATTCTGCACGTTTTTCGGTTGAATATATGTTTAAAACTGACAACTGACATAACCTGAAGATAAGTATTTGGACAATACCTTATATATCAGTTTATCTGTACCTAATGCTCGTAGGTAATATTTTTATTGATCGTTTTAGAATTCCTATTTTATTAATTTTGAGAATATTGTAATTATAATTTAGTCTTGTACCTCAACAGATTTTATATGGAAATAAAATGTTTATTAATGTTCTTATTATTTCTTTTGTAAACATGTGTATTTTTACAGATTTTAAAAAAATATATATTTTTTATACGAGGTAAATAAATATCTAGATATGGTAATCTGTAATAAAAATCTAAAGTGTATTTTTACAATTGAGGCCATCCCCGGAAAAAGGGCCCATATGCCAAATGGCGCTTTTGAGAAAAACGAAATTGAAAATTTAACAAGTATATTGAAATCAAAGTTTAAAACTTTGGACTTTATTGAAAGCTAAAATAAAAGTATTGTGTTTAAACTGAAGTTACAATAAGATGTTTCAAAGATATAGGCACATTTTTATGTAAATATAATTTTTTACATTAGCTTGTCATGGGCCCTTTTTCCACAGATCATTTGCGAAAGTATGAAATAAGTTTAAGAAAATCTTTATTTGGCAAATGACGTAAAAAATAACTATTAATACAAGTTATTATTATACAAAGAAAGTTATACAGAAACTTCTTCTAGTATCCAGCATATCCATTGCACATCTTCTTGGGACAAAAACGAAAATGGATCTCTCACTTATTTTTCCTTCGCCGGCTTTATTCCAACCACTTTGACAGTTTGAAGAGCAATGTTTGTGTTTGCCGTCCCTATGTATTCCTTCTTTTTTAACAGATGACTTTACCAGCCCAAAATTGCGATCGCACTGGTTAAAGGAATGGCCACGAACAGGAAATATAATGTCGAATATTGACGTTAAACTTGTGTGCTAGCCACATTCCAAATTTTACCATTGAAATGTTCTTATTTTGTCCTCCGCACGCATCCGACAAAAATACGATTTCAGTGACATCGCCATTAATTTTTTGCACAAGCAGTCATAGACGAATGCAATAACAGAATCGGCGCCTTTTTTCCCTTTTCTTCCATAAATGTATATACAAAAGACGACCCATCATTGTAAATACCTTCTTCTTCTTAACGTGCCCTATCAAGTCCCTTTGACGTGGCGAAACTGTCTCTGTCTCGAGCTATTCTAAAGAGTTGCTCAGCTTTCTTTATCCCTGTCCACACCCTGATATTCTTCAACCAAGAGGCTTGCTTTCTACCAGTTCCTCTGCGTCCTTCGATTTTACCTATCATAATAAGTTGAAGAATATTATATCGGTCTCCCCTTACTACGTGTCCAAAATAGGCCATCTTTCTACATTTGATGTTATCAAGCAGCTCGCAAGCAGAATTTGCTCTCTCAAGGACTGCCACATTTGTCAGCATAGCCGTCCATGGAATTTTTAGTATACATCTGTGCACCCACATTTCAAAGGCCTCCAGACGATTAATGGTGGATATTTTTAATGTCCATGCTTCGACACCGTATAAGAGGACTGACCAAATGTACTATTTAACCATGCGCTTTCGACGTTGAAGTTACAAGTTATCATTACAGAGGAATGACCTCATTTTTAAAAATGTCGTGCAGGCTATCTCGATTCTACATTTTATCTCTTGATCTGGATCTAGTTGTTCAGTAATATGGCAACCAAGATATTTAAAACTGGACACTCTTTGAATTATATGACCATCAACATATAATCGTGCATTTTGATGTTCTAAACGGCTAAACACCAAGTGTTTTGTTTTTGAACAGTTTATGTTTAGGCCCAATTCTCTTCCCACTATATCAATGGCATTTAAAAGGCATTGTAATCCATTCATGTCATCACTTAAAATAACTGTATCGTCTGCATATCTGATTGTGTTTATCAGAATTCCATTAACTTTCATGCCCCATTCCAAATTATGCAGCGCTTCTTTAAATGTTATATCTGAATATAAATTAAATAACAGTGGGGATAGTATACAACCCTGTCTGACACCTCTTTGTATTTTACATATTTCTGTTGATTTTCCGTTTATGTAAGCTGTCGCTGTTTGACGCCAGCATAACTTTTCTATGAATCGTATGTCTTGACTATCAACTCCTTTATCTTTTAATATTGTAATTAATGTGTGATGCTGTACTCGATCAAAGGCCTTTTAATAGTCAATAAATACGGCAAAAACGTCTTTCCTTTAATCCCGACATTTCTGCAGTAATACATTTAGTGCAAAAAGGGCGTCCCGAGTTCCCAGTCCATTTCTGAAGCCAAATTGTGTTTCATCCTGATCTTCTTCACATTTATCTTTGATTCTACTGTGGATGATGCGTAGAAATATTTTCAAATGTAAATACCTACGTATAATAAACAGATACAGATAACATAAAAGCAGACGTTTATAAAGCTGCACTGTTAGATTGAGTTTCGGAACTATACCTTATTACATTAAGCGATGCAGGGCATATAAACAACGATAAATTTAACAGATAATTGTTAAAGGTGTTCCAAATGAGTTTACTCGTTCCGATAAGTAACAGTATAATTATGACACTGTGAAAAAATTATCCGATTTATAAAATTAATGAATATTTTATGCATAAATGCAAGTAACAGTTCTTCAAAAATATTTAAAAACTAACCGAAATGCCCATCTTTATTTTGTCTGCCGACGTTGTCGGCAGCTTATACAGGTTCGGACACGATTTAATGTTTACATCTCCCTGCATCGCTTAATGAATTTTACTATAGTAAATTTTGTCCATAGTCAAATTTAATAACAAGGAAACTACTGTCAGTTCTATCAGATTCCTTCTCATTGCTATATATCGCTTTACTTTCACATTGTGAAGGCGATAGGAAATTGCACAGGCATCGTTAGGATTAATAGATAGTTTTTGTTTAAATTTTGTGCAGAAATCACATACGTCTGTTTTGAGATTGTTGAAACTATATGAACGCAGTGACTTAAAATACTGAAAGTATGTCTAGTATATCATCTTTGGATTTGTGTATGTCTTTTCTTTATATACTTTATCTAATTTACTTACCGTTGCCCCTCATTATCATTGACAGAGATCGAAGTTGACATACACACTAATTTAAAAGAACAGATTTGATTAAATAGGTAAAAATATAAAACAAGAGGTATTCACTTTAAAATTCAAAATAATAAAGTATAAAAAGTATCAACACCGCAACTGTCAAATAAGTGTTATGCGAAAATATCACCTTCGTTCGATTACAGTTACAGTTGGTTACAGTGTGTTGCGAACAAATGTTCTTCATAAAAACGCTTTATAATGCATTTATACAAATGAAATGAAATGAAAGATATTATTGTGTATTTCTTTAAGTAAACAATAATAGACATTTTTAAGTATTATTTCTACGCGTATATAATAAAATATGTCTATGATTCTGTAATGCCAGTGTACTCGGCAAATTGAGTCTAAAAAAGAATATACCTACCGCCTAAATATTTAAATATTCCGTGTTGGTATCATGTAACCTCACGGACTATTACGCGGATGACGTGCAACGGTAAGTAAATTAGATGAAGTATAGTTTTGTACAAAAAGCTCATACAGTTACATACATTTTAGTTCGAAATTGTGTTGGAAATAATGACTTTTCTTAAATGAAATAGTGTCCAAATACTCTTTAAGCAAGTCATGAATGCTGGGAGCCGATTTGTGGGGTCTGTTGGCATGTGTTCCTGGCTTTTCTGTAAATGAATCCCCCTCAATTACCTTGTTTTGTACTACACGAATGCGCTTCACAGATACTTGAAAAAGTTTTTGAGTTCGACATGTCCGACATGTTTTTATTCTGTCACCCTTTTGAGACACGAAATATTCCCATGTATACGCTCGTAAAACTTTTGGATTATTGAGTCGTTTACGGTCCACATTAAGTTTTTTCATACACTGAGCCAACAAAGCGTCCTGTTGAGGCTTTGTTTATAAATAAAAGTGTTGAAATAAATGTTTTTGATCATCGACAGTTAAACGGCTAAAACATTTGTCCAGGCAGCATTTTATGATTAACTGAAATGGCAACATCGCGACCTGCCGAGGTGACGTATATTTTACCGTTTAACATTTCTTTTTTCTCGCGTCACATTAGTCTTCTTACATCTTGTCAGTTTGTGTCTAACTACCTCTTCGTCAGAATCCATTTTTAAAGCTCAATAAACACTCTTACGTTAACGACAAGCAAACGAACAACGGACGCGAACACAATTTTGTTAAAATGGCAGTTAAACGTTTTGTTTTTCGAATGACACAGGTTTGAGACATTGTTGCCAAACTTGGCCGAAATGAACGTATAATTAACTTGGCTTATAAAATATAGACGTTTAAAAATATATTAGTAATATGTGGAAATAATTTTTTCAGTAAAAAATATAATAAACATACAGATTTGGAATTTATATCGTTTATTTAGTATGAAAATAAAGAAAAATATACAACTTTCTTACTTTAGGAAACACAAAAGACCCTTGTTAAACTGTTTTTTCGGGCTGTTTTGTCTTCTGAGATTAGTTCTCGACGTTTCGCCAACACTAGGGGTTGGCATCTTCTGGAGATGTTAATGCTTTGCTTATAAGCATAAACTGACAGTCAGTATTATCTTACAGCTGTTTGTATTTCTAATGGGGTGGGGATTATTATCAATGGTTGGACGTGGTTAAAAATTTTATAATTGAGGTGAAGAATGATAAGATGTAGTACAGCGAAAAATGAAATAGTTTTTCGCATGTAAAAAATTGAATTTTCACTTAAAAAAATTACAGATAGTAATGAACAAACTAACATACAATTAGTATTGCACAGATACGGTCCGTCCCAAACCCTTCTTTCAGTGCGTCATAGTTGATCGAATTCTCTCTAACGCATAAAGCTAGAAGTGACAGAAAAAGACGTGAGTCTGTGATTATTATACATAGAACTTAGAAAATTATGTATCGTTCACGAGTATTTGCATATTAAAACGAATTCTACTTACGGATGTAAGGTTGGATGTGGTTGGAGTTTAGAATACGCTAAATACATATCCAATCAATAATGCGCATAAATATAATTTGACGCAGATTATCTTGATCATGACAATACTTTCACAATGTCAACTGATAAAATGATAATTGTCATTCCAGGTTAGTATTTTCAGACATTTTACAGTAAAAATTTAATTTTGTATTTATTGTCATAAAAATATTTTAAATATGCCGAGATATACCGACAAAGAACAAAGACTACATACCTATTTAAAAAAATAATCTTTTCACATTTAGTCGATTACGATCCTACAACTGTCATATTTAACTAAAATGTCAAGCAATAATTTTCGACATTCTTAAAATCGTATATGACGTCACATTTAGTGACGCACTGAAAAAAGGGTTTGGGACAGACTTTATCTCCTTACTCAGTACATTACACCCTATTGTGCAAGAGGGAGATGCCCATCAAGAATATTAATGGGGCGAAAATTAGGTTCATTATTTGATCGTTTACGGTTCGACTTTAGAAAGAAGATGTTATCTAAGCAAGAGATCAAATATCCTGACAAAGCAGTACCCCTTCTGTAGTCAGAAGTCTCGTCAGTTGAATTTAACATCTTTTCTTTAAAATTTAAAATTACGTCGCTATAGGTAACGAGTTTTATATCAAGTCGACTTATGATAAATACAATAAATTGCTGTGAAGTTACTCAGTTTGATTTAATTTTAAAGAGTACTTACAGGATGGGAAGTGAACGCACTCTTATGCACTTATATTTAAAAAATTTTAATCATTACCTACAATCTAAATAACGTTGTTGCGTTCTTAGAACGACTTTGCCGCTGATATACTCGGGTAGTGTCTCTTGGTCTGCTTCTCTGTCGAGTAGGTTGCCATGTAAGAGGTTGGTCAGAATCTTCATCTGTCCACCAGCCAAGATCATTGCTGGAGTGTAACCAGTTGCTGCATGTTGGGACCTGCAGTAGGCTAGTAGAAACAGAGCCACCAGTTTGTTTCAGTCTCTCTGGTTTTCATACAAACAGGGACAGGTAGTTGTTGATGGTCCGGTCACGTCTTTCCACCATGCCAATGAACTGAAGATGAAGGTGTCGTTCTGGTCTGCTTAATTTACAGCAAAGCCTTCATGGTGTTTCAAACTTCCGATTAGAAATTGCGTTCCTTCTACTATAGTAGAAGCCCATATCGGGAAACGACATTATCAAGTAGGACATCACCAACTGTGAGTGATTCTTGGTTAGTTGGTACAACTACTTCTGGCCATTTGAAAAACTAGTCCATAGTAACCATCAAGTATTTATTTTCTGATGTTACTGGAAATGATACCATGGAGACGGTACAATACATCACCGAGACGGTGATGTATTGTTTGAGTTTGCCCGTAAGTCTCGTTTTAAGAAAATCTAAAAGGAGAAAAATCAAGAACTAGAACATGATGGTTAGGGGTAATTACGGATGATTTAAAAGAGACACAAATTAGAAGCTAGAATGAAAAAGTTAAGAACAGGAGACAGTGGAGGAAGATAATATTTAGCTAAGAGCCTACAAGTCCTGTAGATAGAGCTCTACTTGCAAATCTTAACTTCGAACTTAACAAAATACAATTTTTATACCTTCTGGTTAAATTTTAGGCCCCATAAAATTATTTATTATCTTTTAATTAAGTACTGAATTGAAAAATATTAAAATATTAAATATTATTCGAATTTTTCTGCAAATTTTCAAACTATTGGCGTAACCTGATCAACAAGAATTTGTTGCCATATGCGTAAATGACGTACCTTGGTGTGGTTGACGATAATGTAATGAAAACAAGAAAACTTTTTGTAATATATATTAAACATTTGTTTTCATGCCTGCTAGTTACGCTACAATAGAATTTAAAACATACATAACTCAACGAAAATTTAAAGATAAAGATCTATTTGGTATATGCACTTATAATGTAAATATGTTTTTGCTTCTTTCGTGCCATATTTTTACAAATTTAACTGCATGGTATATACTGTTTCTCTAAAAATGTGGTCATATTTTTACTTAACACGTATTCCTACATCCTCTAGATTCACATCGACAAAATTTGCAATAATCTATAATAATTCAACCTTACTGACCCTTTCTCTATGACACAAAATAAATTAACTATAAATATATTGATAAAATCTCTAAATGTGGAAATATACGAACACTATTTATTTTATTATCTATTTCTTAAATTCTGTAGATTCTCGCACGAAGGCATTTTTATGTTCTGGGCATTATGGTACAGTTCCTGGTCCCCAAAATTTCTTGCTTTCCAAATCATCGATTCCTCTGAAAAATTAAATAAAAATTTATGAAGTAAATGCAAAATAAAATGCAAGTAAATATTTAGTTTGTTTTAGATTGTAGGAATATATTTTTTTATTTAAGAAAACCCGCACCCACCTAATGGTTATTAGCAACGGAACAATTCTTCTTCTTTCAGTGCCTATTCGTTCCGAATATTGGCAATCATTCTGGCTATAATTAGTTTATTAACTGATGCTTTAAATAGATTCGTTGTTGTTGTGGAGAACCATTTTCTCAGGTTCTTCAACCATGATATTCTCCTTCTCCCAATTCCTCGCTTTCCGAATACTTTACCCTGTAGGATTACCTTCAGTAATCTGTATTTAGTGCTGTTTCTCATTATATGTCCGAGATATTCCAACTTTCTCCTTTTAATGGTATACATCACCTCTCTTTCTTTGCCCACTCTTCGTAATACGGTCTCGTTGGTTATCTTGTCTGTCCATGATATCCTTAGAATTCGCCTGTATAGCCACATCTCGAAGGCTTCAAGTTTTTTCTCCATTGCTTCAGTTAGTGTCCAGGATTCAACTCCGTAATACAATATTGAGAAGATATAACATCGTAGGAGCCTTACTAACGGAACAATATTGCACCCTAAAGGTCGATTCAGACACATCAGTCATGTCTCGTCATAGTCCTGGCGCCGAACAGTTTGCCAGCTGTCAGATAGTTGATAGTTCTGTGACCAAACAGGACCGGTTAGGCGCCGAGACTAGGACGGAACTGATGTGTCTGAATCAACCTTTAGTTGACAACTGTTGTAAGTTCCAAAATAACCATTTTCAGGTTATGTTTGATTCATATGTGATTTAAAGAGCTCTTGTCAATAAAACACTGTCGCAATATTCAGCTCTCATTATTTAAATTGCCATTTAGCCAAAAACAGCTGTTTTAGTTCAAAAAGATGCCCAGCCTCTGATGAATAGAAGACTGTTGTATGTTACATACCACAGATTCATTTAAGGAAATATCCGTCGTATGTAACTTACTACATTATTGACTTAAATACTTCTAGTGGAATCGAATGTGGCATGTAACATACTCTAGGATTTGTAAGTTACTGCGCAATGAGACCGCTTTTTCTAACCTTATTTTAGGTTAGTTAGTTGTTCTTGGTCTGTGTTTAACAGTTAACAGCGGCCTGGTATTAAAATTATTTACAATGAGTTGTAATAGTGGTGGAAAATATTTCATCAATCGTAGTAAATTGATGTGGCATTTATCAAAAATAATTTGTGAATCAAGATATTCTTCTGTCTGTGAAGCAAAGTTGCTCTAAGGATAAAACCGTAGGTTATTAATTTATTATATCAGAATACATTTTCTTCCCGTAATTGTATCCTGTCTGTTATTTGATACATTAAATATTTTTATTACTGTTGTGCGTTGAAAATAGAACCGTAATAGATAGCACGAATTTTATTTATCAATTTCCTGAAAATTTTAAGACCGTTTATGGTAATGGTGTTTTTAAATTTACAGGAGACGTTACTTGGAGCAGATGATAATCCACTTACTGTAGAGTTTGATAACGACAGCAGTATTTTCACTGACAAAATCTGAGGTGAGAAGACAATAAATATCTTTGGTCGATTATACATTCTGTCATTCTATTTTGATGTAGGATACACCTGTCTTGAAATCTACTGTAGATGACGAAGGCAACTTCTTCTTCCTAAAGTTCCATCTCCTATCGGGGGTTGGATATCATAATGGCTATGGTCACTTTGTTGGCTGCTGCTCTGAAAAGTTGTAGTGAACTACAGTTAAACCATTCTCTAAGGTTCCTCAGCCAGGAGATGCGTCTTGTTGTTACGCTTCTTCTTCCTTGGTTCCTTCCTTGCATAATAATTCTCAGCAGCTCCTTATAATTCTTAACTCCTTATTTAGACGTCGTAGTACCTCAGCACTGGTAATCCTTTGAACCCACTGAATTTTTAACATTCTTCTGTAACACCTTATTTGCATACACATTGTGCTCTATATACACATTTCGAACGCTTCTATTTTTCTTATGTGTTGTTTCTTCAATGTCCAAGCTTCCATTCCGTATAGTAAGATAGAAAATATGTAACATCTTAGAGCCCTCAATCTGAGATGCAACTGAAGGTCTCTGTTGGTAAGCATTGTCTTCATTTTCACAAATGCTTGCCTTGTAGTTTCAATTCGGACTTTGATTTCTCTGCTTTGGTTATTTTTGTCATCAACCCAGGTTCCCAGATATTTGTATGTCTCTACTTTTTCTATTTGGGTTTGCTCTATCATTAATCTTTCATTTCCATGTTGCGTTTTTGAGACAATCATAAATAGGAGCGATTAATTACAGGGACCCGATCCGTCAACTGCGCATGTGCGAAACGAATGCGTTCGAAATATTTCGAACCTTCGTATGAAAATGTTAAGCGGTATCTTGTCTTGTTGAATAAAAATTGTTTTAAATAGTTCCCTATTTACGTAATTAGTAAATATGTCAGTGAAGTGTTTTGAATGTTGTAAAATTTTCTCAAATCAGTCTAAGCTTTCTACGGCGATGCAATGGGAAGAAAATGTGCATTTAAATAAGTGTCTGGAAGATTTCCAGTAGCTTTTCTTTTTCACACCGAAAGGACTCCTACATTAATTAAGTTTATTTTACAGAAATTATGAAAGTTGTTGGAAAAATACAAACACTCTGTTTTATGTCCGACATTACTTCAGTTTTTTATGGAAGAGTATTGAAGAATTAAGCTATTTTAAACACGTTTTAGAACGAGACAACTTTTCAAAACATCCACCTGAAGACAACGATTTTGTCAACCCATACAAGACTAACTGTAATATGTCATTTAAATTTAGTTCATTAATAATTTGTTTACTTTCAACAACAATAAATAAATTTAAGTTTATAATAATACTTATATAATAATTTATTATAATTCTTATCCTCACTCATAAACGTGTATTATGTTAAATATTTTAAACTATCTGGTGCAAAGTTAACAATCTCCATAAGCTACTACAACAAAATAAACAATCTTGGACGGTTAATATCAAAGTCATCAATATACATTAGGTGTGATTTTCTTTCTTATTACTCAGAGTACAAGTTATTTATTCTCTATATTTTAGTTATGAATGTAACAACTATGTACCTGTAGAAATAAATATTGTAATTTTCTATTTTTAATCCTAATCGTTTTTATAAACTTGTTTAGATTTTTTAAGGTTGGAGATTGTCCATCGTTGTCCCTTTTGATGTCATTTCAAAGATTGCACATGCGCAGTTGACGGATCGGGTCCCTGTAATTAATCGCTCCTATCATAAATTTAGTTTGTCTCTTATTTATTCTTAGTCCGTATCTAATGCAATAATCGTTAGTTCTATTTACCAATTCTTGTAGCGATTCCAGGGTGTCTGCCATTATAACGGTGTCATCAGCGAATCTTATGTTATTTACTATTCTTCCGTTTACAGAGATTCCATCACCCAGATCCGCTATCGCTTCCTGGAATATGGCTTCACTGTACACGTTAAACAGTAATGGTGACAGAACACAGCCCTGTCTTACTCCTCTCTTTATATCTATATTTTCGGACTAGTATTCTTCTATCTTTATATTGGCCTTTTGATTCCAATACAGATTGCTAATGATTCGTAAGTCTCGTCTGTCTATATTTTTGTTTCTCAGTAGATTAGTTTTTCATGTCGGACCCTGTCGAATGCCTTCTCAAAGTCTATGAAACAGGAATAAATATCTAGGTTCATATCTAAGCATCTTTGAGAGAGGACATTAAAAGCAAACAATGCCTCTCTCGTTCCCAGTCCCTTGCGGAACCCAAACTGAGTATCATCCATATCCTCTTCTAGTTTTCTATAAAATCTTCCATGAATCTGTTAATTTAATATTGGATCTACTAAATTATAATGGACTTCCCTAATTACTAAAGGTAGTTAATCCTTTCCGTCTTAATACTCAGTATGAAAAGAGCTAATGCTTTTGAGTATGCAGGTTCTTTTAGATAAATTGATAATTTTCGCCGAAGGCCCGTATCTTTTGACAATAACTTAATCCCAAGTATTGTCTGCTTCTCATGTCCAATTGTTGGTACTGGTAACTCAAAACTTTCGGAATTTTTACTTCCTCAGAATTACCTACAACTGTCCGATGATTTTAAGTGAGGGAAATACCTTCTTCTTCTTCTTTTTTCTTGGATAGTTGGTGAAATTTTTAGTGTAACCAACTTACTTCTCGGTGGGCTCTCATTGAGCACAGATCGATTATCTCGTGAGACTTCTCGGTGGGCTCTCGTTGAGTGTGGTCGCTTGCCTGAAATTATCGTCTCTGTGAATTATTTTCTAAGTGTGTATACACTCTATATTTCAATTTTCTTGTCTTAGACTATATTAAGTTATATATAGTTCTACACTACCTTTAATAGTACCTAATTAAATTCAGTGTTGAATACCAGTACAGTATATTAAATTCAGTGAATTAAGCTGCCGTCATCAGGAATTATGTAAGTTACCATAATCTTTATCTGCAAATTATCTGGGCGAGTAATATGGTATGGTATCATATCACCTGCCATTATCTGGACGTATCACCCATCATTCATCCATATCTTCATCTGTAGATTGCCGATTTTTATATTTAATTTAAAGAACAATTCAAGAACTTTCCATAAATAATAACTATAAACATCTCAGTTTAGCATTAATTAATAGTGCGAGATAGTAACCCACCTAGCCAAGTGCAGTTTGGCTAGTTAATGTTTTCAACTCTGTAACCTGTTTGTTTTTTTTTGTAAATTTAGAGTTAAGAAATTTTTGCTATCTTTTGTATTTGCTATAATTTTTGCTCATTATCTTTCCTATAATATCTCGAGATACGCCAAACTATATTTGTATATGATTGTCTTATATATCTTGGTAAAGGTATTTTTTTATTATATTATTGCTTAATTTTATACATATATAACACCATTTCATAGTTGTGTATTTTTATTACTTGTGTTGCATTTAGCAGCATCATAATTTTGTGTTTAATATATTGTTAATGTTTTATGCATGTATTTTATTTGTCGGCTCCTAACAAGTTTCCTGAAAAAATAGTAGCTCTAAATATTTGCTTAGTATATTAATTTATTACCATACCTTAGACCAGTAGAAAGATCAGGCTGATTAAGTTTCGTAGGTAAGTAAATGTAATACCTAATATATTTATTATTTGTTTATATATTGTGTTGACCAAATTTATTTGATAATTAACAATTTATTTGATAATTAACTGTTGGTATCTTTCCTTGAGTTTGATCTCTGATCTCTGAAGGATATCTTTCCTTATCTCTTTTCTTTTCTAAGGTTTCTTAATTTTCTCCTTAACCCCAAAAAATTGAGTGGCGCCCTGTTTCTATCTTCTCTTATCTTTGGTAATTTTACCCATCTATATTTTTGTTTATTTCTATATCTTTTCTAATATCTCTTATCCTATCTTTACTTATTTCGTCCGTTGGACCCAATCCCAGTTCCATAAGCTAGTTTCGAACCCACGACTCGCTCTCCACCAACCATCTGGCTGCCGTCCGCAGTGTCTTCATTGGTTATCTTTCTAGCACCATCCAAAAAAGATTTCCGAGGTTACAATTTCTGTCCCCAATTTTCAACTCCCTAGAATGATCCCAATGTGGTAGGCAAAAATAATCGTTACAATGTTCAACCCGGAAAACTGTTGAGTTTAATATTAATTCCTGTAATAGTATTAATCTTAGCTCTAGGTTTAATCGCCTAGTTTTTTGTTTATAATTTTATTTAGAATGACAAATTCACATAATAAAACCTTTTTAATTCTGAATTACGCTTCCATATTCAAAATGTGACAGCGATTTAATAATGCCATCAGCACAGGCAATCAAAATAAATAAAATATTACCAAAAGAAGAAACAAACGTTTCATTCAAAACATTATATTATCAAAAAAATCACAGTAAATTTATTCTCATCGTAAATCAGTCTTTCAAGATATATACTAACTAAAAAAGTAAAAATCTTCATTTTTCAGGTAATCCATAAGTTTTTGAATGAAACGCAATATTTCTGCTAAAATGGCGTATATGTAATAAAAAATGCAATTACTGTAGCTTTTTTCCCTGTAGCAAGCGTGTTTTAATGTTTGTATGTAGTCTTCTTCAACAGACATCTCCAGACGTTTTACAGAACCTTGGTACTCCATGTGGAAATTGTCTTTGACGTAGTAAGGTATGTTCAGATTAGCTGTCTTTCTTAAAATAGGGTATTTCCTAAAAAATATTCCAATTAGTATTATATCGTTTTATATTTAGAATTACTTTTTTATAATTTTTTGTTTATATGTAATGGTCCAAATTAGCTTTTTACAATGTGATAGGGATCGAAAAGATGAAAAAAGTAGTCAGCTATATTCCATTCAAGATGTATAGTCGCCTCGTGTTTCGGTGAGAGTGTGTAAAAATATATTTATCTGTAATAAAATTAGGCAATAAAAACTAAAATAAAAGTACTCTACCAGGAGTAGTTATTAACTGCAAAATTATCACTGACTCAGATGTATAGTAATACAAAGTTTTAATATTCTCATCGATATTTACATTCAGATGTGCCTGGTATTATCTTTGAAAATATGGGTTGAAGTTGTCATCGAATTGTTGATCAGTCCACGTGGAACACAGCCAATGAAAACATCGGATATCGCTATTATGACAAATCACAATGCGTTATCTTGTATCGGCAAACTTATGCATTCTTCAGGTAAGATATAACAATATTTACCTGAGCGACCAAAACCATCAAGTAGTTTGTCCGAAAAAATTTCATTTCGACCACCCAGTGGTTTCCACTTGGAAATCTGTAAGTCTGGAAACGGCTAATTATCTCGTAAATTACTAGACATAATTATACAAAATTTGAGATACGCCTATTTTGGGATACGGAGATTCCATATTTGGTATTTGCAATGTTGCCAGATTTTCAGTTTCTCTTATATTACTAGTAACTTTGGTTTTTCAAAAGCATCACCCTGTATATTCAGTCATTATTGGAATCTCCTATTAAATACGAGTTCAACCATATGTAACACTTATGATTTTATGTAGTCTGGAAGGTCTTAAATACATAAAACAGAAGTCTGGCAACGCTTAAATTGTTTCAATACATTTTTTAATACTAACTATTTTCAAATACATTAAAACGTAACAATTGATAGTTTAGAATATTTTTTAACATAATAGTTACGTTATTAAGTGTTCAAAATGTGCTCGATTTGTGCGTTGACAGCACTCTAATCGATGGTAGAATGCGTCTACCACATTTCTCCATGATTGTCTAGAAATTATTCGAGATTCATCGATAATTCATTGCCTTAGCTATGCAAGATTTGCTGGTTAAGTTTTGTAAACTGAATTTTTCAAGTATCTCTAATAAAAATAATCTTTAGGATTGAGATCGGGTGAACGTGGAGGCCATTCAATTCTACCTTGTCTACGAATTTATAGTCCGGGAAATATCTCATCTAAATAACGCCGAACATTTACACCAAAATTTCTTTCGATAAAAAATGGCCCAATTAAATAAGTACCTACTATAACTGACCATACGTTTAATTTTTGTGGTATTTGAGTATGGTTTTCACGCATTCAGTGTGAATTTCACACGAGTTCAGCTATTCAATACGAGTTCAACCATATGTTGAAATATGGTGAAAAATTGAAAATTATTAAAATTTCGTTAACAGAATATGTTTTTCCTATGAAGCAACTTTTACACTGTGTGGAAGTGTAAATCGACACAATTTAAGGTACTGGTGTGACGTATTCACACTGAAGACTGAATGCGTGAAAACCATACTCACAGACCACAAAAATTGAATGTATGCTCAGATATAGTAGTTACTTATTCAATTGTGTCATTTTTTGTCGAAAGAAATTTAACGTCAGATAGTTGGTGTACATGTTCGGCGATATTTAGACGAGATATTTCCTGGACGATAAATTGGTAGACAAGGTAGAATTGAATGGCCTCCACGTTCACCCGATTTCAATCCTAAAGATTATTTTTATTAGGGATACTTGAAAAATTCAGTTTAAAAAACTTAACCAGCAAGTCTTGCAGAGCTAAGGCAACGAATTATCAATGAATCTTGAATAATTTCTATACAATCATGGAGAAATGTGGTAGACGCCTTCTACCATCGATTAGGGTGCTGTCAACTCACAAATTGAGCACATTTTGAACACTTAATAACGTAACTACTATGTTAAAAAATGTTCTAAACTATTAATTGTTACGTTTTAATGTATTTGAAAATAGTATTAAAAAATTTATTGAAACAATTTAGGCGTTGCCAGACTTCGGTTTTATGTATTTATGACCTTCCAGATTACATAAAATCATAAGTGTTACATATGGTTGAACTCGTATTGAATAGGAGATTCCAATAATGATTGAATATACAGGGTGATGTATTTGAAAAACCAAAGTTACTAATAATATAAGAAAAACGGCAAATCTGGAAACATTGCAAATATCAAATATGGAATCTTCGTATCCCAAAATAGGTGTACCTCAAATTTTGTACAATTATGATTAGCATTTTACGAGATAATTAGCCGTTTCCAGACTTTTGGGCCACTCTGTATATATAAAGAATTGGAGTGTCTTTAGAATTTTAAATCATCTCTATATAAAAATAAAATAGCCCGTGACAATGTTTACACGCCCTAATCCCAAATTTTTCTCTTTTTTTGAGTTCCGTTTCGGATTTATTATTAAATTTCTAACAATATCCGTGGTCATTAGCACTATTTGCTTGTTTGATTTATTTCGAATACCTTATGAATTACAAATACAAGTACTTATGAAAACCACTCTATTGTTTACTAGCACTGGGATGTGTAAAAAGCTTCCCTGCTTTTTCGCCTTGTCAGTATAGGTAAGCGAGCTACTGGTATGCAAATTACTAGCAAATGTATTTTGTGTTTACCAGTTACTGGCCTATGCTAGCTACTTTCTCAATTTACTGGCATGCGTGTACCCGGCTTAAAATGTTGCCAATTTGCTGGTATCTTAGTCGCTTTTGTTCCTATAAATTTTCCAACGAAATTACGTGCCGATAACATACAGTTAACATACAGTAATGATAATATACAGTTAAGAAAAATACTTACGTGCTGACTTGTAAACTATACGCTGGATCGGAAATAAAAAGACTTGAAGCCATCGATAGTAAGATAGCCAGTAAAATGGGTAACAGTTGAATAAACGCCGTGTAACTGCTTTGTTGCTAAAAATCACAAAATATATTTAGTTAAAATTTGTACTGCTGGAAAATAGTTTGTGCAGTTTTTTTTTAAATTTGGTAGGTATATAATCTAACAAGTTAGAGGTCCCGTCATTTCGGAAGGCATCTAATTTGCATATTATCGCACTGGGCAGAGGTCAAAATTTGAAATTTCTATCTAAGGCACGCCTTAGCAGTAAATCATTTCAATATTTAGTAGCGCAGCAGTGCAGTTGAGAGTCGTGTGTGTTAAATATTATATAATTTTCTTTTCAAACAATCTTGCTGAAAATTGAGGGAAAAGACGTAGCGTTATTAAAGAGCAGGGTCGTCAAATGATATTTAATGTGTATAATTATTTTAAGAACATGAAAAGTGAAATGGACAATCTGCTAATGGTAAAAAATAAGACTGCTGAAGCAACAGGTAAGGAGTTTCAATGCATTTAGTATTAATTTTTAATATTCAAATTCAATGTTCCAACACTTTTTACTTTTAGTTCTCAATGTTACTTATTTGCCAATATTTTATCTCTGCCTTCTATATTTTGCTTTACTTCGATATTTTGTTTACTACTTCTTGGTCTGTAGTCTATTACTATGTGATCATCTACAATTCCATGGTGTGTTTCCATTACTACTTCATTTTTCTAGATGTCGATACCAGATGTGAGGCAATAGTGTTTGGGTTAATTGTTGTTTTGTTCCTTGTTATGGAAGTTCCGCTTCCTAATGTTCTTAGTAGTGTCCATGCTTGCCTACTTGATGATTGAAAATTAAGACTTTCTACCTTTTTCCGTCCATTTTTGTTGTCTCGCTGGATCTAGGCTATGGAGCAGTTCATCAGCTAATTCTTGATCGCCGCTTTCAAGGAAATTTTGGCACAGCTCTTCGCTGTTATTGGACCAACCAGGAATGTATTCTTTTCTGTAGCCTCTTGGTATATGTTTTTTGACCGTGCTTATTACAGCTCCAACGAATCTTTTGTAATTTCTGATGGTAGGGGGTATCCAGCCTAGAGTATTATCCAGTTCCGCAGAAAAGTTACCCCAAATGACTTTCTTTAGATTCCAACGTGGGCGAGGGATGGATGTGATTATATTAATCTGGGTTCCCGCCTCTAAGATCACTGGACGGTGTTGGCTGTGTGGGAAGTCGTCCATTACTTTTCGAGAGACTGATAGAGGTTGTCCGTTTTTATTAGTAGAGATAAAACATAGGTCAGGATTGTACTCCTTCTTGTGACCTGTGACAGATTTACCAGAATATCAAATTACAGACATTCGGCGTATAATACACGATTTTTATAGATCAGAGAATTGTGGTGTTACTGTTAATAAATTGAAGAACAAAATTGACAGACATTTGGACATTAAAGTATCAGAAGTCTCGCTACGAAGAATTCTTAGAAATATGAATTTCCGTTGGATGAGAGCACAGTACAACAGAAAATTGTTAGTTGAACTTATCAAACATTATAGAAACGAAAACAGATCCATTGTTTACCTCGATGGAACATATGTACACAGTGGAAATACTTTGTCGAAAACTTGGAATGATAATTCTAGTAAAGGGTTACTGATGAACATTTCGAAGGGTCAACGTTTAATAATAGCGCATGCTGGTGGTGAAATGGGATTTATTCCAAACGCGCTTTTAATATTTAAGTATGGTAGTAAATCTGATGACTACTACTTAGAAATGAATGCCACGAATTACCGCAAATGGCTAAAGGAAAAACTAATTCCAAATTTACCCCCTAACTCAGTAGTTGTTTGCGATAATGCATAATAATATGAATAAATAATTTTTAGTTTTATTTAATTAATAATAAATAACTAAATTAATATTATTATTATTTATTAGTCTATAAAAATATTTAATCTCAAATTCATATCTCGCAGCTGTACATAAAAAATTAATGAGGTCAAGTGTCCCTACACTTAATATAAATATCTTTAGATATTGAAATACCTCTCTGTGATGTGAATGTTCTTGATGTGACTGACTAGAAGCCGTTTGTCTTTGCCATCTGCCTCCTCTGCGTACATAAACATTGGGCCCACTGAAACCTCCACCGAAGAACATGTTGAAGAGTTCTTCAGCTGTAGCATCTGATTCAAAACCTCTTGTGTAAGTGTGATGATGAGAATGAGATGACAACCGGTCTTCGTCTGATCCATACATGTCATACTGTTTTCTCTTTTCTGGATCAGTAAGCACAGCAACAGCATTACCTAAAGAAACAGCGACAAAGAGAATTATAGAAGCTTTATTTGTAAAAAATATATGAAATTGAATTCAATTTTATCAAGTCTTGTGTTATTTTGCATCATAATATTGCATTGAGTTATTTCGTCAGTATCTTTCTTACAAAACTTAACGGAAACTTCAACTTATATGATAGACCAGGGGGTTTTTATAAAAAATCGACTACACTTGGATGTGAGAGGTGGCATTCTGATTTTGACAGAAAAAATTGTGTAAAAACTTCAGCAATCAATAATTGACTTATCCTGCCTTTCAAATAGCTCGAAAATATTAATAGAAACATTTAAAAGAATTTGTCGAGCTTTCGATTGACAATCTTAAAACTACAATTTCCACAAAAGCTCTTAGCTGAATTTTGGATCGGAACTAGAATTTCTCACTGTATTTCTCACAGTCGCTGATATTGCGTTAAATGTTCTTCTGTCATTTAACACTGTATATTTATGTGTAGTTACCTACCCAGCTTTAACACATATAAATCCCAATATTGCTAAAAATTATGAAGGGATCTTACATCCAGCAGTGTCAAACATTCTACAGCAGATTTAATTTTTTTGCAATAAAAATCTGGCACATCCATCTCATTTAATTTTCTCTGTTTATTTTAATTCAATACTTACTACTCAATGATTGCGTTCAAATATATTTGAGCGAACCAAGACAGTCAGTATTCGCTTTTATTTATGTTATTGCAAAGAATGCAATTTTGATGAAAAATACGGTATATAATTTTTAGAGTAAATAAATAAAATTTTACAACTTTTGCAATTGTGCAATTTTTAGTTTTATATTTTTGTTTTATTTCTAAATAAATTCTAAATAAATCATCAAAACATATTTATTTATCTTTCTTTTATATTTATGTGGGGTCACCAGGAGACTCACAATAATCTCCATCTAAAACATTCACAGTAAGTGACAACAATACATTCATCCTACTGTGTTTTCACACATTATTTATTTATTTATTTCAACGGTAGAACCATTTACAATAAAATACAACAAATAGTAAAAAGTAAAGATCATGTACAATAAACAACAAAACAATAACAAAGAAACAATTAAACAGTAAAAATTTGTACATTAAAACAGTACAATAGTCTCTCTCTATAACGATTCCCTATATAACGATAATTCCTCTATAACGATGAAAATATTAAAGTTTGGTTGGTTCATCATAAGAACAATGTATTAATTCTTTCTCTATACCGATATCGTTCTCTCTTTATAGCGATAACTTTTTTAGCGTTCAATAGTTGATGACAAATGTGTTATTGTATTTAAAGTTCAGACTACCTGAGTCACGAATGAAAAGGTCATTGTTCAGCGGTTGTTTTGTTTTGCGTTAAAGGAATGCGGCATACACTCTTTCTTATCAGAGGGTTAAGTGATGTTTATTGTTCGGGCGGCGTAATTAACTGTTATCACACAGATGTTGTCATCTATTGACGACTTTTAATTTCCAGTTTCAATTGCGTCTTAGCATCGGGCAAAAAGACAAAAGAGGGAATGTAAAGGTAGTGAGGGCAAACATATTGTTAGACAGGAAGTGCGATCTTTAGAGGCCACATTAAACAAGGAAAGAGAGTCTCTCTCCTTGTTTGACATCAAATTTAGTTGGGTTATGTTATTGTTTGTCCCAAATGTCACATGGAATCTTATTTATATTGAAGTTTTTTAACAATTGTGTCGCATTTTAGACTCTTATCATTAATAATTAATTAAAACTTTCTCGTCTAAGACACATTCTGAAAAATATTATATAGCTACTGTTGATAAGTGTCGGAAAATTTAAATTTGGCGCATTCGCATTTCCGGATATGTCCGCCATCAGAGGCCACTTTTTTGGTCTCCTTTTCATAAGGATTAGATTCCCTCTTTCGTATTATTGCTCGATGCGTCTTAGTGTGATAACAGTCAACATGTTTTCAAAAAAGCGTAAAGTGCTCTCGGTGGAGGAAAAACTATCGATAACTCGAGCAATAGAGAAAGGTGAAAAGCAATCGGATGTCGTTCGCCGGACGGGGCTGTCTCAGTCAACTGTGGCTACGATATGGAAGGACAGAAAAAAGTGGCTTAAAGCGGAGATGGACGGCGGTAGCAGGAAGAAGTTGCGGAAACCTCAGCACGAAGATTTAGATCGCGCTATGCTTCAGTGGTTCCAGCAGCAGCGTATGAACCATATTCCACTTTCTGGGCCTGTGGTCAGGACAAAAGCTGAATTTTTTACAACTGAACTTGGAATTGAGAATTTTAAGGCATCTGAGGGTTGGCTGAGCAAGTAGAAGCTGCGACACAAGATCAACTACGGGTAAATCAGCAAGAGGCTCGCGATGTTAACAAAAATGTAACGGATCATTGGCTAGAAAACGTGTGGCCTGGACTGAAGGCACGATATGCGTCAGACGACATTTTCAATGCGGATGAGACTGGATTGTTTTTTAAAATGACACCCAACAGAACTTTAAAATTTAAATTGGAAAAGTGCATTGGTGGAAAGCTCTCTAAGGAACGCATTACAGTTTTAGTAGCCGCTAACATGACAGGTTCGGTGAAGCGAAAATTGTTAGTAATAGGGAAGTCGAAAAACCCGCGTTGCTTTAAAAACATAAAAATCTACCGGTGACATATAAAGCAAACAAGAGTGCGTGGATGACCTCGGAAATTTTTTAAGAAGCGATAAGAAAGTGGGATATCGAGCTTAAAGGGAAAAAAATTCTTTTGCTTGTAAGCAATTGTCCTGCTCATCCTGTATTGCACGACCTTCAAAACATCGAACTCTGTTTTCTGCCAGCAAACACAACGAGTGTCCTTCAGCCCATGGACCAAAGTGTCATCCAGAGTTTAAAAAACCATTACAGGAGAAGACTTTTGATGGAATTGGTTGAGAATAATGGCGATCTTAAACTAAACATTCTTGACGCCATCCTAATGATTAGTAAATCCTGGGACGAGGTGACGAGTAATACAATACAACATTCCTTCAAACACGCAGGATGGCTGGAAGATCAAGGATTGGCTTATGATGAAGATGACCTGCCATTAGATGTTTGGGCCAGACAGTTTGAATTTACTATCACCTACGGACCAGAAGAGCTAACAGATTTTGAAGAAGTTGATAAAAATGTAGCTACAACATCTGGACTTTCTGACGAGGACATCCTACAAGCAGTTCGTGTAGAAGAAGAAGAAGACAGTGACTCTGAAGTGAAAGCAGAGTCAGAACCAGCTCCGACCCCTCAGCAGGCATTGGATGCGGCAAAAGTACTGCATCGATTTTTCATCCACCAGGAAGACGATATGAGTGCTGTAGAAGATTCGATGTGTCTTCAGGACAAGGTCAGGTCAGTTCTGTGGAAAGGGAAAAGAAGACAGACCAAGGTGACAGATTTTTTTGATAATGTAGGCTAAATATATTTTACAGTAGCATTTTATTTTTTTATTGTACAGTACACATGTTTTAATTGCACAGTCATTTTTATACTGTATTGCTTATATTATTCGTTAATAAATCTATGTGGAATACAAGTCATTTATATTCGTTTTGATAATTTTTTTAAATTAAAATAGGTTATTTAGTACAGTATTATTAATATTACAGTACCGAATTTTGTCTCTCTCTGTATAACGATCTCTCCTTATAACGATGAAATTTCCCGGTCACTTGCATATCATTATAGAGAGAGAGGACTGTATATCAAATTACCAAAGTTAAAAAAATACCACATATCTAGATTAATAATTTGATTCTTAAGTTGCCTTTTGGAAACATTAATGTTTGGACAGAATGGATCCAACAGGAGGTCATTGCAAGAGCTCAGCATTCTCGATAAGGGAAAATGATAAGCATAATCAGTTCTATGATAAGCATAATCAGTTCTATGAAAAGGAATATAAAAGAGTGCAGTGTGTCGAGTTCTATGTATTGTTTAAGTGTACATTGGCTAGTAACGGGGGACAATTAATAACGTTAGAATTTTAAACAAAAATAACATATCATTTCTAACCTGTGGTTCTTCAATATAGCAATATTAAATTGAGAGATTATTATAGAATAATCTATGAAATAATTTTCAGTATATCTTATATTAATATGTACCTGATTATATGATTATGATTATATGAATATTAAAAGATAAAGATCTTAGAAACTTCATCTGAAAGCTCTCCAATCCATCAATGTGTAGACTTGATGAAATGGGAACCACACAACAGAGCAGTATTCATCAACTGAGCGTACCAGAGAGCAATACAATAATTTGATAAAACCAAGATTACAAAACCCCGTTTCCTTAATTTTAAGAAAATATCTTCCAAATGTCAATGCAAAATCCAATAATACACCCAAATATCTAATCTCAGTAACTGAATCCAAGAGTACATCATTAAGAACATATCTATTAGCTATTAGATTATTTATACGACCAAATGAAATACAAGAACAATTAGTTGGATTTAAGCTTAACCTATTTTGTTTTGACCATAAACATATATTATTTACATCATCTTGCAAGAGATCTCTATCCGATTTATCATGTATACAACAAAATAACTTCAGATCATCAGCAAGTACCAGGAAGTGTGAGTTTTTGATAGCCTTATCCCTTATACCAATATCATTAATGAACAAGTTAAAAAGAATGGACCACAATGAGACCCTTGTGGTACACCAGAATAACAATGGAATTCTTTTAAAATATAATTGTTAATATGAACTTGCTATGTATGTCCCATCAGAAAACTTTTAATCCAATTAACAATGGGGTCACCAAAGCCAAATGCATGAAGTTTGTGAACCAAAAGATTATGATTAACCTGGTCAAAGGCAGTTGAAAAATCAGTCTAAATTTTGTCAACCTGAATTTTATTCTCAAATGCACCCAACAAGTATTGTTGCTAATTTGCAAGGTTTGTTACTGTTGACTTCCCTTTATAAATCTATGTGGTTCATCAATAATTATGTTTCTGCAAGGCCAGGTGAGATTTAACTATACCAATTTATCAACAAGTTTGGGGATTGCTGATTGAATAGTTATACCTCTATAATTGTTAACATACACAATTGCCAGATTTATAGATAGATACAAGAAAACTGTTTTTCCAATATTGTGGAAATACTGGTGATGACAATGATCAATTGAAAATTTGTTGTCAAGGTTTAAGTACAAAGGCAAAAAATACAGTTATTAATAAGTGCTGCAGGTATACCATCAGGTCCTGAAGAATATGTAGTTTTTAAACTCATAATCCCCTCAAAAATATCAGTCAGACTAAACTTCAGAATCTGGAAATCCACACTATTATAGTCCAATTTAAAATTAGGTAAATTATACTCTTCTTCTTCTTCAGATACAAATCCACTAATGGATGTTAGCGATCACATTTTCCATTAACTCTCTATTTCTTGCAATATGTATCAGAGATTGTATGTTGTTAATCCCTGTCCATTGCCTTATGTTTCGGAGCCAGGACATTTTCTTGCGTCCCACTCCTCTCTTGCCTTCAATTTTACCCTCGATTATAAGTTGGAGGAACTGGTATTTTTCATTTCGCATGATGTGACCTAGATACGCTGTTTTCCTTTTCTTGATGGTTTCGAAAAGTTGGCGTTCTTGGTTTACTCTTTTAAGGACATCTATATTTGTGATTTTCGCTGTCCATGGTATTTTTAGAATACGGCAATAAAGCCACATTTCGAAAGCTTCCAATCTGTTTATATCCCTCGTTTTGAGTATCCAGCCCTCTACGCCATATAGCAGCACTGACCATACGTAGCACTTAGTAAACCTTAGTCTCAGTTGAAGATCGAACTCAGAACAAGTCAGTACCTTCTTGAATTTTACGAAAGCTTGTCGAGCTTGCTCAATGCGACATTTTACTTCCCTGTCCGATGCCCAGTCTTCAAAAAGCCACGATCCCAGGTATTTAAATTTACTCACTCTTTCTATGGATTTACTATTCAGTGTTATGGTGGAGTTTTCAAATGCATCCAAGTTTCTGGAGATGATCATGAATTTGGTCTTTTTGGTATTAATCTCTAGTCCCATTCGCTCACTGTATTCTCCGATTATAGTGACAAGTTGTTGAAGATCGACTATGTTGTCACAAATTAAGACACCATCATCAGCATATCGTATGTTGTTGATCAATACTCCATTCACCTTGATTCCAATCTCTGCATCCTCCAAAGACTCTTGAAATATGGCTTCTGAATAAATGTTAAATAAAAGAGGGGAAAGCACACATCCCTGTCGAACGCCTCTTCTTATATGTATGGGCTTAGATATAGAATTGTCTATTTTTAGCTGTGCCGTTTGATGCCAGTACAAGTTTTCAATGCATCTTATGTCTTTTTGGTCTATATCAACTTTCTTGAGAATCTGCATTAACTTGTGGTGTTGGACACGATCAAACGCTTTTTTGTAATCTAAAAAGCATAGGAACACATCCTTCCTCTGATCGTAACAATTTTGGACCAGTACCTGTGTTGCTACTATTGCTTCTCGTGTTCCTAAACCTTGCCTAAACCCGAACTGGGAATCACTGATGTCCCATTCACATTTTTTGTATAATCTTTGATGTAGTATTTTTAAGAATATCTTTAAAGTGTGACTCATCAGGCTAATGAGTCTGTGATCCTCACATCTTTTTGCATTGACTTTCTTGGGCAGGGGAATAAAGGTAGAGCGTAACCACTGTTGAGGATAGCAGCCAGTTTCATAAATTAAATTAAATATTTTGTGTAGTGCTGAAATTCCCCTTTCATCTAGTAATTTGAGTATTTCTGACGGGATCTCATCTGGTCCAGGTGCCTTATTGTTTTTTGAATTTAATATTGCTTTTTCTATCTCCTCTTTGGTGATTGAAGGGCCAGTCAGCTGGTCGTCTGTATAAACTTCACTCATGGGTCTTTCGTCATGGAAGAGCTCCTGGATATAATTTTCCCATATATCAATTTTCTCCTTTTCACCCAGCACTATCTGGTTATCCTGATTAACTATGGTAGTTGGTCTTCGTTTTCTGTATATTCCAGCAGTCTCCTTAAGCTTTTTATGTAAATTACGGTCGTCGTGTTGTCTTTGTAAATGTTCTAGATCGATACATTGTTGCTTAAGCCATTCATTTTTTGCTATTCTTATTTTTGCTTTTATTTGCCTGTTAATGTTTTCATACATATTGCTGCCATCTTGGTTATTCTTGTGTCTTCGTCGTTCTTCCATTAGTAATAGTATTTCTTCTGTCATCCATTTTTGCTTCTTGTTATTTCGTTTGTACCCTAAGTTGTTTTTCATGATGTCTGTTACAGCACTTGTAATCGTATTCCATGTTGGTGTTATATCTTCAGTAATGTTTGTCGTTAATATTTGAATTTGTGCGTTTATTTCATTGCTTATTTTTGCTTGTATCACTGGGTCTTTCAGTTTATCCAGTGCTATCTGTTGTTGAGTTTCAGGCTTGTTCTTGCATGAAAGAGCGATCTTTATGACGGCCACTAATAGTACGTGGTCAGAAGGGACATCTGCTCCAGGGTATGTGCAAGCTCTTTTGACAGTTGTGCTGAATCTACCGTTTATAAGGATGAAGTCTATCTGGTTTCTTATTATGTTATGAGCTCTATCGGCTGGAGATTTCCAAGTATATAGGCGACGGGGTGGAGTTGGAACCATGTGTTGGTAACTCTCATGTTTTCTTCTTGACAAAATTGTATAAGTCGGTCGCCCAACTTATACAATTATACTCACTATCATTATATGTACCTGAAAAATAACTGACAAATAGATTGACTATTTCATCACCATTCTGAGCTATTACATCCCCACCTTTATTAAACATTACATTAGGATAAGCACTAGACCCACGTGTAGCAGTAACATACCTCGAAAAACAGTGAGGATTACTTAAAAGATTTGCTTGAATATTCTTTAAATAGTTCTTATAACATACTGCTTGTAATGATTTACATATTTCCCTTAACACCGAAAATTCCTCATATGAGTTGCCTGATGCTTTAAAATTCCTGTGAGCTATTTTTTTCTGTATGACAAGCACAATTAATTCTAGCGAAAACCAAATTGGAAAGTTTAATTATTTAAACTTATGCAGACTTCTAATAAGTAGGCACATACTTATACATAATGTTTATAAGAGACTGAAAATTTTAATTATCTCCACAAGTTTTATAACAGAGTTACAACAGTTTTGCACAGAACATTGCAATAGTTTCGATAACAAGCAATGAAAGGCACGAAAAAAGTAAGATATTTGTTATTTTAATATCTATATCTGTGGTGTTTAATTTTAATATACAGCTTGTCTATGTAATTCACAGCCGAGACAATAAACAAAGATTTACAAAACCAATCTATTTATGTAAGTTTTATGCCCTTTTGTGACATTAATATTTTCCATAAAATGTATGTGATGTCATTTGACCATTTACTTATTGGATTGTATTAAAAACACATAAATTAAGGCTAATTATTTACAGCCAAAAAGTATTTTTTCTTATGAAAGGAAAAAACCGTTATCTTAAAACTTGTGTATTAACAATACTGACAGGTTAAAAATATCTATTCTCAGAAAACTTGTTCTATAAAAAATCAATCCGAAATTATATTAAATCTTCATGTAACCTTCTGGGGTGATTGTCTTATCATATTGTCCCCCGTAATTCCCAACTTTTACTAAGGTAGTGAATTTCAATCGTTTTGTTAATCACTGTACTCAAAGTAGAACGAATTGCATATGTTTATTATAGTCCTTTTGTTTTGAATTTAAATAAAAATATTGACAATTTTACTAACAGAAAATGTGTCTACACTTTTTACAATTTTCTCATAGCAAAAGTGTTGTAACTTTAAAATTCTAATACTATATGTGCAGTGATTAACAATTTTCTACATGCAAAAGTGTTGTACCTTTGAAATTCCTAATATTTCTAGCATTAACATTATTTTATTTAAATTTCTATTTTTGATAATGTAATATAGGCTGAAAGGCACGCAAAATCATAATTAAATGTTAATTTTTCTTAAAATTGTGTCTTATTTCACCAATATTAGCATGGAAATAAACAAAATCGTCTTTATCTTGAAACTTACTGATTCTGACTTACTGCAGTCTTGCACCTAGGTGCCATATTTCATAAAAATGTTGAAAACATTCAACAAATCATTTTAACTGTAAATCGTATTTCAAAATCACTAAGATTATATCGATACATTTTTGGCAAAGTAACATAAGTCACCAAAATCGATTTGTAGAAAAAACAATTTTTTTAATTCAACCTGCTTAAACTTATTTAAATTATGACTGAAAAAACTTATCCTACTTGTCCTAAAAAAGGTTTAAAGTAATTCTAGGCTTACTACACTCTTTCAGTACCTTTTTAACAGTAATAGCATTAGTTTAATTGAAAAACATTATTTTCGCCAAAAATGTCACTTACAATACTTTGCCAAAAATGTATCGATATTATAGAGTTAAAACAATTAAAAAGTGGGCACATTCAGCTACTTACTAATAAGGAAACAACTGTGTGGATCTCCATAAAGTTAAATTCAAGTATTCACTACTTCAAAATTTTTATATCCATGAATAATTAAAAACGATACTTACCTACAGCTTTAAATGCTTCAGATGCTCCAGGGCATTTGTTCTTATCAGGATGCATTTGCAATGCCAATTTCTTGTAAGCCTTCTTAATTTCAGAATCTGTAGTATCCTTGCTGACTCCAAGAATTTCATAATAATCTTTACATTTTTTTATTCTCTTAACTGCTTCTTCTTGTTCTGGAGTATAGTCAGGAGCTTTGTTTTCCTTTTCTTCCGTTTTCTGTGTGGTTACTCTTCTTCTTGGTTGGTTGGTTTCAGGGTTACTTGGAGCCATCAGATTAATTTTAAGCAATAGATCTAGAAAAACACAATATATTTAGAAACTTCAATGGATAAGTTGCAAGTGCTGAAATTATTATTCTTGGTTTAGAGTAATGTGATAACTATTTTCAGTATAAATGTTGAATTAAGAAAAGTTATGACTGTGTTTCTATATGACAGAATATTCATTAATGACAGAATTTTAGACATACAAATCTACTGCGTATCATAAAAAAATATGTATACAACTATAATAAAAATGATATACTTATATTAAAGATATAATCCTTATTTACCTTTTGCTTTATCAGTAGGAAATAGTTTCTCAGCTTTGTTTAAGTATTTCTCAGCTTTCTGTCGGTTTTTTTCCTGGATGAATTTTTCCGCTAAATCTATACACTTAAGAGCTTCGTCTTTGTTTCCTTCCATTTTTTTTTGCAAACACCCTAAATTGTTCCAATAATACTTTTTAGATTAATTTAATAATTCAACAGCTGATGTCACTCATGCTGTTGACAGCAGACTGAATAAACACTGACGTATCCTACGCAGACGCATTTAGAGGGAAACATTGGGATTTCAAATCTCTGGATTTCAACCAAAGAAATAATAATAGTAATGCAAATTACATTAATTCTCAAAATTAATAAATGTAAAATAGCAATTATATCTATTATACAAACACCTTGTATTTCATAGAATATTTTTTATTGGTTTAGTCACGTGCTAAAGTAGGCAACCAATGAATCAACTGGCGGTAAAGATCTGTTGCAGGAATTTTATCTAACATAATTATATCTAAATTCTGAAATCAATTATTTATTCTCTTTTAATTAATCTAAAAATTAAAAAAGACAACTAGGCCTTATCCAACGAGAAGAGATCAAGAAGAGATAGTGCGCCAAAAACAACAAGGCGTTGCCAAATTTGCCAGGTCCGGATTTAACGTTTGCTAATACATACTTTTTTAAACATATTTTTTTGGTAAATCGGAAATCCAAAATTAATAATATGTTGTACTTATCTGGATTCATCTTGGTGGTTTTATGCAAAAGAAATTTTTCCATTTTAAAAATAAATAGCAATGTGTAACACGCTCTTATTTACAATGAAATAAAACACCGCCACTTAAATACGAAGTCAAAAATATAACACAAATAAAGATACTTCTAATGATGAAATCAACTGAAACCCATATATAAACAATGTCTTGGAATCTCCTAACCTAATCGCATGTTCAGTCATAAATATTACGCAAAATTACGCTCACGCTGCATCCTGTGTAATAGCGAGTTTGAGAGCTATGGGATGTTGGCACCTCATTGATCGAATTTCGTAAAAATAATTATACCGTCTGAATGGTCACGTTTTGGTCACAAATGGTCAGTTGGTTTCAGCTTTTGGTCAGGTCTGGTTAATTTTTTATTAAGGGTTGAAAATTTTCAAGGACAAAAAAAGATGTTGGCACCTCATTGAACGAAATCTATAAAAAAAATGACTGCATTCGATAGAGATTAAAACGCTGACAAATGGTCAGCTATATTGAGAGTTTGGTCAGGTTGTTTTAGGGGTGAAAATAATTAATAAAGTTGCAATCACCTTAGCACGCAAGCGCAGTCCATTAAAAATTTTAAAAATACCAGGATTGCAGTGCCTTGCCGCAATAAACATTTTAAAAATACTAGGAGAACAGTAGGTTCCCGCGTTTCCCTAAATCACTATGTTACAGCTAGTATTTCTGAAATATAATTATACCACCTGAAAGATCACAAATTAATCTCCAATGGTCAGATATATCCAGAAATTGGTCAGTTCTAATTAATTTTTTATTAATTATTGAAAAAATTTCAAGGACAATTGATGTTAGTTTCACATCTAAATCTTAACATTTTTACAAGACACCAAGTCTTACAGTGTTGCGCGATTTTGAATATTTGATGAATTGTAAGTTTTCAACCAGACACATTCTTTAAATTTTAATCATAGGAAGCGGTTATAGTAAAACTTGTTGATATCTAGATAGTGTAACAGTTGTTAATGATACTAGGAATTGTAATATATTTCTTTGTTTTGGATATTGGGACGCGATTAATACAAATATATTCGAACGAGATTAACTTCGCTGATAGGTTTGGCAAATATGGATCTTAATACACATGCTCTCAAATATACACCGTTGTCGCTTCTAAAAATTAGTTTTTCTCGTCTAATATCATTGTTATATTTTTGTAGAATATCCAATTTATAATTCTTAAATCTGATCTGATTTTTATGCAGTCATTTTACTTATTCTTTTATTAGAATAAATGTAAAAAAATATTACTTAAACGCACAAATTCATAGCAGTTGTAATTAAGAAAATTGCTAAGAGTCATTAAAGATTCTGGAAATTCTCAAGTATTTTTGAGACATACTGTGTTCTGACTCAAGTATTCTGTGACTGTTTTCTGTTAAAATATTGATATGAAGTAAACAAAATTTAAATATTAGCGCCATATGTCATTTACAGGAAGTTATTGGTACAATATAAACTGTCAATTGTATTCACTTTTGGAACAAAATAAAGTATTCTTAACCGTATACTCAACTGGTTCGTTTCATTTGTAAGTTTTAACAGGTTATAGTGACTCAGACCATTTTTTCCGTTGGTAAATAGATAACCGTTGTATACTATACTATACTTATTATAGTAAATGTTAAGGTTCACAATAGCAGTGAATTACATGTCTACGGTGCCAAAGTTATGAGGCCGCGAAAATTACACTGATTGGGTTTTGCAGTGCAAAATTATTTTGTTCTAGAAGGTTTGTCCATGTGTTTGGATGGAACTGAAACCGAAGTAGATAAACAAGAAACATCTAAAGCCGAGTTAGTTCTTTTGCTTGATCCATCGTTATATATACATATAAAACAAGCAAAAACCGCTGAAGAAATTTGGGACGCTTTAAAAAAAGTTGTTGAGATTGTTATTTCTATCGATTCAATCAAAACAAAAGTATTGGACATGGAAAGTGATATTATTCTGAAGCTATTTTCTTGTGGCATTTTAAATTAATTAGCATTTAACTGGGAATAAGCCACAATTAAAGATAAAAATACGTTTATTGACGTTTCAATTTCCACTTCGGAAATCTAAATTTTTTTATTAGGTATGTGATTTCCGAAGTGGAAATTGAAACGTCAATAAACGTATTTTTATCTTTAATTGTGACTTAATCCCAGTTAAATAGTAATTAATTTATGGAAAGTGATGTTGGTAAGTGCGTTTACAAGTGGTACTAGTAACCGAACCAATCACAACAGACAGTTTGAAAATCACAGAAGTGATGACAGATAAATAACAAGAGAGACAGAGATCTGTCGAAAATTAGATGTTATCGTTGTAAATAAACCGGTTACTATGAAAATGAATGTCGGAAGGTTAAAACATCCGAAAAACATGCGTTTAGTGCCGCTCTTCTCAATGGATACTTAAAAAAAACTGAATTCACAAATGAGGGTTTCAGTTGTTAAAAAGGCGTGGCATCAAAGATGAAATAAAAAACACCAGTCGCTCAACGCTACTAGTTTAAAGTGTCAGTTGTGTTAGATTTTAAAGCATGCGTCGTTAGATAAAATAATATACACATTATCACTTGTCAAACCAGTGTCATTGCGACTTTACTTTATTTTACTTTATTTTTGATAATTCGCGTTATTAACAGCTGGTAATTAATGTGTGACCATTTTTCTCAGCAACCTTATATCAATCTCAAATTAAACATATTTGCGGCTACTTTTTGAGTGGTGACTATTATCAATGTATTCTCTTAATTTTAAATGTATGTAAAAATGTGAATTTGATGAAATACGTTATGAATGTAGTGATCCTTGTACTATAAGTTAGTGTTTAAGTTAAAGTTTAAGTTTAAGTACAATAGCGAAATAAAATTACATATCGTGCAAGACTAGTAGCTAGTATTAATGAAAGAGAATATATTAGACTATTGAGAAAATTTTGCGCAAGTAATAAGACATTTTTCATTAAGGTTGCTTTTTTACTTTCTATAAAATTAGGTTTGGATATTACTCATTTAGATGTTAAAACAGCATTTCTAAATGGTCATTTGAAATAGAAAATATACAGGCAATCGCCAGAAGGTTTTGATTTAGCAGGTAACAAATGTTTAAAATTAAATAAGACTATGGGCTTAAACACTCTTCAAGGATCTGGAATTATGAAGTAAATAATGTTTTGGAAAATATTAATTATAAGAAATCAAAACATGAGCCTTGTATCTATAAAAAAGAGAAAACAATAAAATTACGGTTGTAGAAGTATAAATGATTTTTGTGTGTTTTCGAATCATCAAAGTGAAACAAGTAGACTAAAAAAATGACCTAAAAAGTAAATTTGTTATTAAAGGTTTTGATAGAATTAAGGAATGGTTATTTATGCGAATAGACTTTGATCCAAATAAAAGGTATATTTCTTTGAATCAGAAAAACTATATTATTCGGTTGTTAAAGAGATTTAATATGAGTTATGCCAAAGGACTTAAAACTCCAATTGAACCAAAATTATCTTTAACAATTGATGATATTAAAATTGTATTAGAGATTTTTTTATAAGTTTCCTTATCAGATGGTAATTGGTAGTTTGATGTATTTATCTGTTTTGGTCAGAACAGATATATCATTTCTAGTCAGTTTCTTGAGCCAATTTAACAATGTATATACTAAGTCTTATTTGAAATGTGCAAAAAGAGTATTGAGGTATTTAAAAGATACTTTAGATACTATTAATTATTCTCTGATTGACTCAAAAAAATGATTCAGAATTGCAAGGTTTTGTAGATGCCAATTGGGCAAGCAATACATTAGATCGTAAAATCCTTTACTGGATATGTATTTAAGCTTTGTAGCTCTACAATATCTTGGCAAAGTACAAAGCAAACTACGAGGCGGAATATACGGCCCTCTCAGAGGCTGTTTTTCTTAGAGGTTTGCTAAGTGACTTAATTGAAAAAACTGAATATATTACTTTATTTAATGACAATCAAAGTGCATTAAATTTATCAGAAAATCCAATTTATCATAAAAGAAGTAAGCATATTGATGTATGATGTCATTTTTTTGAAAGACCTAATATCTGACACAATAATTAATGTAAAATATATGCCTACTGATGTTATTCCAGCTAACGTGTTGACTGGTAAAGGTCTAATTGCTAAAAATATTGCATAGATTATTGAAACTGTTTGGTATAGGTAACCTATAAATTTTGTTTTATTCATAAATGGGGGTGTTAAAATATTGATATTAACTAAAAATTTTTAAATATTAGCACAATATATCATTTAGAGGAAGTTAAGATTTGTACAATGTAAACTGTCAATTATTGTATTCACTTTTAGAACAAAATAAAGTGAATCTTAACTAACTGGTTTCTCAA